ATTTTTGAAGGAAAAATATTTTAATAATATTTATAAACTAATTGGTTTGTGTAATTGCACTCTTTTTTCGTTATCTCATATGGTCTCAATTTGATAAACTGCATATGTATGCACTTATTTGAGTAATTTTTGTTTGGTTTAGAATAATTAAATCAGAAAGAAATTTTTTTTGTGAAGAACAAAAACGATAGTGGACTTTTTAATTTGGTAACAAGACAAAAGCGAGCTCTAGTATATTTGCAATAATTTGCAAGATGACTTTGTCTTGATGAGTTTCTCGAGCAGACTTTTCAGTGACAAATTAATTATGTCAACTAGTTGGTTAAACTCCATTGTTTAAGATTTGGGGGATAAGACATGAAGAGAATCGAGTTCCCTTAGTCATGAATATGCTTTAATATATGGGGAAAAAACAACTAATATCGTACATTATGACGTACATTAAGTTGATGTTTGCCCTTCTTTCTAACTAAACACAAGTTTTTCAGATAGGAAAGTACTTTGCTTTGTTTTTTTTCTGTCTCCAGAAGAACTCTAGTTAGTCATGATATTGGCCATATAAAAAGGGTTAGTTAGCCGCGGGTTCAGCCATCACCATTCACCACCATCATCTAAACGAAGAGTTTGATTACATAAAACTTTAGCATATTCCATGCTGATTCGATGATATGCTAACTGTCAATAGGATACAAACAAAATAATTTGACTATTTTAAAGTGAACGAAGCATTTTTAAAAAAAATAATGAATTATAATTATTAAAATTTTCAATTAATAGTTATAACGCCGTACATTTTCTTTTAAGTGCATCATTCACTTTAATTAAAGTAATTAATCTAGCTAGTAGTTAGGGATACTAAATTCAATTGATGCGTTAGTTTTGTTCCATTTTGTCAATTCGATAATGGATTAACCAAACTTGATGAGAAAGACATCGAGCAGCAGGTTCAAATGCAAGAGTACTATATTAAATTAAATCACGTCCCACGACTCTGCGTCAGTAGTCCAACGGTTAGGATAATTGCCTTCCAAGCAATAGATCAGGGTTCGTATAAAATATAAAAAGCAAACTCTCTGACTAATATATTTTTTGTATTATTCTTTTTAAGATCAGGATGTCCCTCGCTTCAAATCAAGGTAAGCCAGCAAGAAGCACCCCTTTCCGTAACTATTGCATCAACAAGTCTCGCCATTTATTTTCAAAACGAATTTTGATGATATTCTAAGATTATGAATGTGGTGACGGGCTTCTTTATATTGTAACATATTAGTTAATTCTTGATTATTATTATTTTATATTAAATTGAAGTTTTTTTTTATATATTTTTTTTAATGCATTTAAAATTAGGATTCGTTTCTTTGACAGTCAACGCTCAAAACGATGTCGTTTTGAGGCAGAAATTAAGTTATTTTTATATTATAGTTTATTTCAGGGGTATAATAGTCTTTTTCATTATAATTTTTTAATTTTTCAATCCAAAACGACGACGTTTTGGAAGCGAACATAACATTCACTGTAGAAACATTAAAGCCATAAAATTATCTTTTAAAAAAAATTCAGAAACCCACCTCTAAACTTCCATTACTGAATGCACGGACATAAATAATTTTTTTGGGTTCGTCACTGAGATTCCCCAAGTTGATTCATTATAATATTTCATTATCACAATCATAAACTTTATATACAACATATATATCGATTAAAAAAAAACATACACAATATACATAACTAATAAATAATATGACAGGAAAGGTGACAGGCAACAAAACAATATGAAAGAAAGAAAAACAGCTGCGCTACGATCCTTTGTACCTGGACATGGTCAACGACTTGGAAACTTCATCTAAAGATCAAATGGGAGACACAATCATCTTGGGAAATATGAACGATGATAGTAAAAAAAGAAAAAGGGTTTATGCTCAATCATTTATCATTGCGCTCGTGATGACAACCCCTAGCTAGCTGGGCTCATATGGTAGCTGCTTTCAGTGCAAGAACTTTCCTTCCAAGCAAATCTCATAATTACACATTAATATGTAAAGCCCAATTAATTCTTATTCATATTTCATTAGTAGAAGAAGCAAAATCAAAACTTGATTTTGTCCTTAAGTTAGAAGTTACTTTTAAGCTAAAGCTAAAAAAAAAGAGCTTAAAAAAGAAGAAATTAAAAGTTATTTGGTTATTACCTAAAATATTTAGCTTAAAATTATTTAAAAGCACACAGTTCAAGAAAAATATATCTCTCTTCTTTTTTCTCTATCTATATGGCTCTTCATTTAAGAAAAAAATACACAATTCAAGAAAAGTTAATAAAAGTTTAAAAAGAGTTTCTCGCAAGATCTTTTGGCTTTTAACTTTTTTCTTCATTATAATTTTTTTGTCATCGTAAGAACTTTTCTCAAAAACCTATTTGACTTAACTTTTGCTAATAAAGAGAAGAGAAGCTAAAAATAAGATGATGAAACAGGCACTTAGTAAGAAGCACAAATAAATTTAACTACTCCTGAATCGCAGTTAAATAATATTCAAATTTTCTTTCCCTTTTCCCTTTTTGTGCCTCAATCAAATTATGATAACTCAATAAAAATAAAGCATTACTCTTGTACTCATTTTTTTCCAAGCACAAGACCCATTAAGCATTTCATAAGTTGTTAGTTATATTCAACATAATTTTGAATATTTTCATGAAATCATCATTTAATGAATGCCAAAGTTATGGACACTATACTCATTAGGCACCATAACAATTTCCCTTAAAAATATTAACAAGTCAGAGAGGGAGAAAAAAGATTGCCTAGCGTTTACTTGTGCCATAGGCCCAATATGTCGGTCCGTCACGTCTTAGCCAGCCATGTAAACGGTCCATAAAGTCTAAGCCAGCATGTGTCGTTATGATAGTTTTTCTTTGGGCCCCGATGTACTTCCCAAACACCCATCTCTAAGCCCAAGGCCTTCCTATTTCTCAGTCTGCCTCAAGAGGTTTATGGGCTTGAAGAACCAGAAGAGTGGACTAGCACATCCAAGTCAGCACTATTTGCATTGGCCTCAAGGCTCCCCGAAATTTATTAGGTAATAACCCACCTCCATCTCTCTTTCATTTCTGCTGTTTTTGCTGATTGGCCTTTTCATAAGGAACAATGAATAATGTGCTAGGTTTTTTACATTTATATATTAAGTTACCACGTGAATTGAAAAATTTACTATACTGCCACGTGTTGAAGTTCCTACCCTTTTATTTTATTTCACATAATTTTTCGATATCTATGCAATGACACCTCATTTGACATATTTTATCTTTTATAAATATCGTTCGAATTTGTAACAATGGTATCACAAACAATTAATGTACCAATCACCAATCACAATTAATATACCAATCAAAATTAATTGTGATTGGTACATTAATTGTGATTGATATATTAATTAAATAGCATTTTCCTTCTTCTTTTTTATTGTGATTGGTAGATGAATTCTGATCGGATAATGAGATTGTGCCACATAGCGCACCAAGTTTGTTATCCCTGGTAGCGAACTTAGTCAAGTCAGCTGTTCCTGTGCAAGTGTGCCATATGTCACGAAATCATTGACTACCAAGCGAATTTGGACACCTGGCAGTCAGTTTTTCCTGTTAAAGTGTGTCATGTGTCACTAAATCATTGGCTACCAAATTCGCTACCAGTCGTAGCAAATTTCAGCGTGTGGCAGTATGGTAAAAAATATTGTTTGTGTGACATATTGGTAAAAAATTGCCAAAAATGATATAGTATGGTCACTGTTCCTTTTCATGATACATATTTCTTAGTGCTATGATTTAATTTCATTTAATTTTATTTTATTTTCTAAGTCAAGTTACTATTGTAGTTGACCCTTTAGGATAGAGATTGTGCCCTTCCTAAGTCAATGTATAAGGTGTCATTGTTGATCTATGTTGCACTGACACTACACTGACATGAGATAAGGGATATACGACATGACTTAACATGTCGACATATTAATTTTAAAAAATATCATATTTTGACACGTTAAAACATGTTTTGATATTAAATAATATTTAATATATATAATATAATTTATATTTAATACTTATAACAATTCATAATAAGTCATATAACTAATCAAATATTCAAATTCGATATCATAAATATAAAAGCAAAAATAATTTTCCGTACCTTATTAATTTTTCATATCAAATTTCATAACAGAAAAAAATTAATTTATAAATAATTTTTTCATATTTAGTTAATAAATAAAATTTAAACAAAAAAAAGTATCAGACATGTGTTAAAGCATTAACTACATATCGGAAAAAGTTAACTGCATTATCGGTGTGTCCTAAAATATTATTATCGGTGTGTCCTGAAATATTGATCGCCCACGCATTTTTCAAAAAGAAAAGCGTGTCGGTGCTTTTTAGTTGTTGATTCCAAGAATTGAGCATCAAAGAAAGTCCAGCAGTTAGAACTTGGGATTTCATTACGGGGCTGCCTACTAATGTGATATTCATCTAAGTCTGTCTGCATCATTGAAATATATTTAAACATTTTTAGTGCAGAACTTTTCATTCTCAATTATCTGAACTCAAGACTTCTCTAAAAATGGTCCAGGTTCGAATGTCGGTACAGAAAAAAAAAAAAAAAAAAAAAAAGTAATTGCAAACGAGATACCATGGCACCCGATCAATTTTAAGTAGATACCGAACTGCAGAATTAAGTTTTCAATTGATACCCCAGCTATATCTTTCGGCAAGCAATTACAAATGATAGGATTTCAATTTCTAGCTAAACGAATTTGATAAACTTACATGGTGTGCCCTGATTTAATTTCCATTTAATGCTATACCTATAAAATCTCTTTTAATTCCATGAGTTGCTGAGAGGTCCTGCAATCGAGATTGCTCACATTCTCCGTATTTTCAAATATCAACACAATTGAAAAACAAAATATCACAAGAAGACAATATAAAACAGTGGAATTGTCAGGGTAGTTCTCTTCAAGTCTTCATTTTATTTTATCTTAATAACAACAACTTTGAACTACAAAAGGTGGTGGGATACAACTTACGGTTTGGAATAACCAAGGGGGGCCAACAAATTTTGAACCACTTTGTAGGATAAATGAATCCGAGGGTGCATTAAAATACACGTACATGAAGGTTTGAGCACAAGTATACACATTTGAGTATAATTAAGCACTAAACGTATGCCAGATCCTGCAACATTCAATAAAATAGACAAGAATGTTTACATTTGATTAGCGATGACCAATTATATCTCTCACTTTACACATAATAACAGCTAATTTTCTTACATATTTACAGATTAGTATAGTAAGAGCAGATCATTTCATGCTTTGACAATGGAGGCTCATGAAACTGATTCTTGCACATTGGATCTTTTTTAATATGCCAACCCACCAGCAAATGTATCCCTATCGTGAAGCAAAGACTCTGTCAACCAATAACCATCCCAGCAACCGCCAACTCTCTGCCAGTGACGAACAAGAGATGCATGTGATAAATCAGATACAAACAAGGAACTAATATACTAAACTATGAACAACAATTGTTTAGATTATCATTGAATCAGGAAAAGCACTATCAAAATTAAATACACCTGCAGTAATCCACCATTCACAAACTTCCCTGACCATCTATTGTCTTATGATGAGAGCGCTACTCAGAACTACTACTTTCAGGCGTGCATCAAAACAAGCATGAAATGCATTAGGTAGCCTACAGCATATAATAAACACCTAAGGAATCGGGTTGGGGTACATAATAAACCATTCTCCGGGCAGATAAAAATTTATACCAAAGGAGGCTTCTAATTGCTTTGTGTTGTTTAAAATGCAAACACTAAATTGGAAACATTAAATGCCTGACAAGTATAACTATAATCTACTGGAAGAAATTATGATCAAACCTGAACCACGGTAAATTGAAATATCTCCTCTTCCTCTGGTCGACTTCCACGAACCCAAACCCGCTGTTTATATTTGTTCTGTTTGAAGTTCATCAACCCACAACATGCAGTTTAGATAACAGAGATAAAGAGCCAAAAAAGTCTGAAAAATAAGAAAGAATATACATATCCATAGGAACTCAAACAATGGCAAATACAGATATCCATAGGCATAAACAAACAAAAGCTGCACAACCTATGCTCGAGTGTAATTATTTTCCTCCATGTAAGAGAGAAGTGATTTTTTACCTCCTCCACAAACAAACTGCTCATGATCTTTCTTTCCTTGTGACCTAGTAAGACTCGATAAGTAGAATGGTGAAAAATCCGCCTGAACCTTTCAAACTGCACACAAAGAGATGACTGTTCATCAGCAACCTATACATTATCTCTTAATTTATAAAAAAAATTACACAATACTTACCTGACCCAAATCAAAGAAAGGCCCAAAATAGGTCGATCTTTCAAAAGGATCAAATCCTGCAAACTACAACAATAGCAGAAAAGAAAGATAGGTTACTAGGGGTTAGTTTCCCCATTTCAACGGTTAATTTCTCAAAGAAAGGCACAATACTTATTCTCTTAGAAGTCTTATTCCCCATTTCAACGGTTAATTTCCATCCATTAATTAATTAAGTTAGAAGTCTTATAGTTTATAGTTTATTTAGTTATATCAATTAATTAATTATTAATTTCAAATAAATGGATGAAAATTGACTATTAACAGAGAGAATAAGACTTCTAAATCTTAGAGCCGAGTGAAAAGATCTTTTTCAATGCTTATATATATATATATATATATATATATATATATATATATATATATATATATATATTTTGAGAGAGAGAGAGAGATGATTACCCTGTACATAACCTCAATTCCATAATCTTGACGGGGCTGGTCATTGTTTTTCAATGCTTCAAGCTGGTAATGCACAGCATCTTCTGCACTAAACTATAAAAAGATTTAACTCCAAGAAACTAAAGAAGAAGCAACACCTGAAAATGGAAAGTGGTCCTTACATCTAATCTTGGCCCAAAAGGTTTTTTCTTGCGAGATTCAAACCTGCGGTATTCATAACAATAATAATAATAATAATAATAATAATAAAAAAATACAGAAAGATTATGAATTTCTTTTCATTCCGCAGAAAGGGGTACCATACCAATCTGCAGAAAGGAAATCGGGAACGTTGGCAGCGGCCTTGAAGCGAAAGGTTTGACATGTTCTGTTCGGCAAAAACCAAACAGCGTGCGGAGGAGACAACAGAGACGATCCAAACGACATCGTAAGCTGTTGTGTTTGTGTTTGTGTAATTGGGAGAATGATTGCAGTTATCGTCTTCTCACTTCTCTTCTGTCTTCTGAAGATGATGTCTATGGTCTCTCTTCGTGCGTGCGCGCGTGACTTTCTACTTTTCACCATAATAAATCAATTAATCTGTTTTTTATCTTCGAAAAGATAAAATTATTTAGTACATGTGAGACGAAAAATTAACATGGATACGTATTTATAATATATATATATATATAAAAGATAAAAAAATTTCTTATAATATGAGAGATATTAAACTCTTCTTACATTGTATAATCATATTTGTATCTCTTTTAATTATCAATATCAATAACTTTGTAAAAAACGTTAATAACATAATACTTTTTTTTTATATTCTTTATTATTGAATAAATTTTTATACTGACCTCATTAATACAGGATGCACTTCTGTTTTTATTAAGTATAGCTTACATGATATTGTGTCAAAAACATTATATATATATATATATATATATATATATATATATAATATATTTTAATTACATTATTAATTGATCATGTAATATACATTTTTAATCAATTTTTGTATAATGGTTTTTTAATATCATTTTCATATGACTTTTTCATTGTGATGCCTTAAAAGTTTAAAGTTATTAGTTAATGTAAATAATTTAAATTCTTCCGGATTATTCCACTTTTTTTTTATATTTTTATTACTCTAATTCTAATTCTAATACATATAAAAATAATTTATAGTACTATAAATGAATTCTTATGCGTGAAAAAACAACTTTTAGTATTTTTAGCATAAATAAATTTCTCCATTGTGATGGCAGCTGACTCTAAGACCAACAGGGCATCAAGTCCTTTGGAACTAAATTCAAGGACCACCAGGAGCCTAACTACTTCGGCATTGGCACATGATCGAATCTGATTTTGAGATTTCCAGGGAAAAAAAAAAAATAGAGAACGGATATTGGATAGTATGCAATTGGAAATTTAATTGAATATAAGAGAGTGTTTCGTTTTTTATACAAAAAAAGTGTTTCATTTTTTTTTTTTTGTCTTTAATGGCTTGGTGTTTGTGTAGTCGTGGTCACGAGATGGCATTCTCTTTGAGTAGTTGGAAAGTTGATGGATTCTAGTTCTAGTTGAAAACTGGATTTCCCTGCCCTTCATAATGTGCGTATCCCTAGGTAATCGAGTTGAATAAATGTTTTAATCAACCCATCAGTAGTTGAGTTGCACCATTTGTACTCCTAACACCAGAGCCAATTACATTTCCTAATAAATGTCAAATATACTTTTCTTTTCTTTTTTACTGTTCCACTAATTTTTAGAACTTCGCCCTGACATTGACAGGTGAGTCTCCCAACAAAGATTTTCTGCATACATAAGGTTTCGAACTCGAGTCTTTGCTTAAGCGAACCCAAATACCTTATCACTTGAGCCAACCCCGATAGTAATGTCAAATATACTTTATCACCAATCAACATCCACAAAGCTTTTACAAGAATTCTCTCACAACCAACGTCCACGTGTATCTAAATATAATAGGCGTTAGGTTTCAAACGGAACGAATTATTTAATTCCTGCACCATTAATTCAATGTAACTTGTTTGATTATCATGTGATTAATACTAACAAAACTTAATTTTTATTTGTTTTCATCAAGTTATTTTCATTTGTCTAAAAATCTAAGGAAGCTCTTGATCCATAAATAACAACATAGTTATGTCTCAAATTATTTCAAAAAACACATGAGATAGTTTTCTTGTATAGTTAAAACGTTATGGCTTAATCACTTATCATTATCAATTTCAATTTGAGAATAGTCTGAATAAATCTAACAAACTGTCTAATATGATCTAAAATGATTACAGAATCACAAATTCGATGCTGACCGGTATCACTTTTTAGTTGTAAGCACAAGTTAAAATAAAAAATGAATTTGTGCAACTATCATGCTATTAAAGTCTCCGTGGCTACGAATTTAATTCTCATCTTCCTCTATTTTGTAGTGAAATTAAGTAATTATAAAGTAAATTAAAAAAATAGATTTATGCAATATTCACATTTCAAATCCAAATGATTCTTGTATAAATGGATGTATTAGAGAAATAAATAAATGTTGAGCGGCCTTTATTTACAAATTTAAATTTTTCGATAAAGTGATTACTTATCACATATGAAAATTATATAAGACTTTTTAAAATAAATTATAAAGGCGAATTTTACCTGCAATATCAGCATCTAAATTCTACGCACATCATTATTACCAGGAAAAGTCCTAAACAGGAGAGTCCATTAATATTTTTAGGACTCATTTATTTTATTTTTAGTCTGTCAAAATAAAGTATGGAAAACAAAATATTTATATATTCAAATTAAATTTATTGAATATATTTCATTAATCAAACATCGGTACATTACAAAATTTACTGCGCAGTTAATTTTTATTTTATTTTGTTTTTTGTTTTTCTAATATCCTTAGTTGAAAAAAAAAAAATCAACATGACTCACCAGTTTCTGCTGCTGTCTTTATTAATTATATAATTTATAATTTGAAATATGTATATTGAGGTGCGGTTTGTATCTTCTTCACCTAGTTTGAAGTTTTTTCTTTCTTTTCTTTTCTTTCTAATATCAGTTGAAAAAAAAAAAATCAACATGACTCAACACAGTTCTTAATTCTTATATTGATTGACGTGTGGTTTGTATCTTCTTCCCCTTGTTTTGAGCAAGGCGATCTTTAGTGAGATTCACCATTTCAAGGTCAGTACTGTCTCATTCAAATTTGAGTTTTCTCTGTCTTTTAGTTTTGAATGCTTGAATAGTCTCTACTTTTAGTACATATATTGGCCATTCATTCTCTTAGTCTATCTAAGATCTTATAGGCAATGGTTGATGAAGAAGATACAAAATGCTTTCTTTTCTTTAGTTATAAATACAAAAGTTCATCCTCTTTGTGTGTATTGATGATGGGTCATTCATTTTTACAGGGTGGTTGCTTTGGTTCTTACTTGCATTTCTTATTCTCTATTCACCAAACCCATTTTTATTTTTCTATTATCTGGTCATGAAGTCCCAAACAACGCAGATCACAAATTCCTCATAAAGTTTGCATTTTTTTTAGAGAAAACAATATATTAATGTTTCTTTCTTTTCACTGTTCCATTGACATTAGGCAGAAAAACTCTAATCCCAGCCAATTTTTTTTTTTTGTTTGCTTGGTCCCATTTCCACCCCCATCTCTTAAAACCTCACAAAAGATGTCAGAATCAAATCTAAAATCTCCATTAATCCAATCAAAGCTTCCTGATTTCAAACAATCTCTGAAATTAAAATACGTGAAGCTAGGCTACCACTACCTCATAACCCATGGAATGTTCCTGTTTTTATCACCTCTTGTGGTTCTAACAGTAGCACATATCACTACATTTTCAGTCCAAAATCTCCTTGATCTTTGGGACCATCTGCGTTACAATCTCATATTCGTGGTCCTTGGCTCATCTTTCCTTGTGTTCTTGTTGACCTTTTATTTTCTAACTCGTCCTCAACCAGTTTACCTTGTTGATTTTTCATGCTACATACCTGAGGTTGCACGCCAATGCACTAGGCAGTTATTCATGCATTGTTCTAGCTCGACAGGAACTTTCACTGAGCAAAGCCTCGAGTTCCAGAGGAAGGTTCTGGAAAGATCTGGACTTGGTGAGTCAACTTACCTCCCTGATGCTGTTTTGAGAGTTCCTCCAAACCCATCAATGGAGGAAGCTAGGAAGGAAGCTCAGGCTGTCATGTTTGGGGCGGTTGATGAGCTATTTGAGAAGACAAGGGTGAAGCCAAAAGACATTGGAATCCTTATTGTGAATTGTAGTTTGTTTAATCCCACACCATCCTTGTCTGCTATGGTTATTAATCATTATAAGCTTCGTGGGAACATTCTTAGTTACAATCTGGGTGGCATGGGTTGTAGTGCTGGTTTGGTTTCTATTGATCTCGCCAAGGATCTTCTTCATGTCCATCCAAATTCTTATGCTCTTGTTATTAGCATGGAAAATATCACCTTGAACTGGTATTTTGGGAATGATAGATCCATGCTTGTCTCAAATTGTTTGTTTAGAATGGGAGGAGCTGCAATCTTGCTTTCTAACAAGAGGTGGGATAGACTTAGATCCAAGTATCAGTTGGTCCACACTGTTAGGACTCACAAAGGTGCTGATGACAAGTGCTTCTCTTGTGTTACACAGAAAGAGGACTCCACTGGGAGGGTTGGTGTTTCTTTATCAAAGGATCTCATGGCTGTTGCTGGGGATGCTTTGAAGACCAACATCACCACTTTGGGTCCTCTTGTGTTGCCAATGTCTGAACAGTTGCTCTTTTTTGCCACTTTGGTTGCAAGAAAACTTTTCAAGAAGAAAGTGAAGCCTTATATCCCTGATTTTAAGTTGGCCTTTGACCATTTCTGCATTCATGCTGGGGGAAGAGCTGTGCTGGATGAATTAGAGCAGAACCTCAGACTCACAGACTGGCACATGGAACCATCAAGGATGACCCTTTACAGGTTTGGCAACACTTCGAGCAGTTCACTTTGGTTCGAATTGGCTTACACTGAAGCCAAAGGAAGGATCAGAAAGGGTCATAGGTTATGGCAAATTGCATTTGGATCCGGATTCAAGTGCAATAGTTCAGTTTGGAGGGCTCTCAGGAAGGTGAACCCAGCAAAGGAGAAGAATCCATGGATGGATGAAATTCATCTTTTCCCAGTTGATGTTCCCAAGTTCTCAGCTATCTAATTGATGTGACTCTATTTTGCTGTTCCATTTGGTTATTTTAGGTGCTTCGTGACAAACAAATTAGAGCTGTCCACATGTTACGGTACGAAAAAATGATGTACAATTCTTCAGCTATGAAGTAGTGTTTCCATCGTTAGACATTATCAAGGTTCATGATTCAGATTGTAGCCACATTTTGTGAGGATGTTTTGAATATATGCAGGTTTATTTCAACTTTTTTTCTGAAAATAATAATTTCTTTTTCAAAAGCCCTTTTAAGAAGTTATAAAAATAAACTAATCCAAAACATCCAGTTAGGCTCGAATGGACCCACCACCCAGCTAGGCTCGAACAGTTAATTTGATTTTTGATTCTTTTTACTTTGTTTCCTGTTACCAATGGACATCCCAAACACAGCGAACAACCTCTGCTTTGGACTTGCTCAAAATAACACATCCACCGTACCCAAACATAAATTTTTCTTCTGTTAAACAATTCTTATATTTCTCTATGCAGCTTTGAATTCTGCTATGGTCAAAGAGAACAGTAACAAGAAACGACTCAAACGAGCATCATAAGACACGTCCACTACGAATTTACCAACTCTTAAAGATTATACCAACCAGTTCAAAACAACATAGATAATAGGTTCAAGTAGATAATTAACCATGCTCCAATAAACAACCTAGACAGCTAGTTCCATGTAGCTTGCAGTACCATAGCACAGAAGCCAGTATGTCAGTTAATACATGTCAAAAGAGTATATCAGCAAAATTCAAAATAGTATCAGATTTACAGTAAAATTCATAACCAAGGTTAGTTGGGAATAATTTTTTAACCCTCACTCCTTTGAGGACTTGTTGATAAGAGACTTGTGGATATGAGGAATAACACCACCGCCAGCTATTGTTCCTTTAATAAGGGTGTCAAGTTCTTCATCTCCACGTATAGCAAGCTGTAGATGTCTAGGGGTAATTCGCTTCACCTTAAGATCCTTGCTTGCATTGCCAGCCAACTCCAACACCTCTGCAGTTAAATATTCCAGGATAGCAGCAGAATATACTGCAGCTGTGGCCCCAACTCTTCCACTAGCGGTCACCCTTGACTTCAGAAGACGGTGAATACGTCCAACTGGGAACTGTATCAAAACATATACAAGTTGAAACACCAGAGGAAATGAAACGTATTACAATTACTATACCAACAAACAAAAGATTTTAAACAAAAACCCTAAAGTTCATCATGATCTGAGCCAATACACCACAAATTTCTCCATGCCTAAAATATGGAAATAATAATTACACCATTCCAAGAATAAAAGAAATTGATCACCGATAATCATTGATTCAAGTGATAAGGGCCTGTTCGCTTTAACCACATATCTCGAGTTCTAGCCCCAAGAATGGGAAGAATGGTCTTGGGAGAACAACACTCAATATCGATCTGACTGAGCTCAATTCGGTCGGATAGTCGATGAACTGATGGAGAAATAAATATATATATATATATATATATATATATATTGATGATTGATCAACTACATTCAACAGCCTATGAACTTGTAGCTCAATTGTCGGTGGCCCCCGAGTATTAAAGACTTGGATGTGATGATGATGATGTTGGATGTTTGATCTTTCATCAGGGCACCTCTCAGGCTCTCACCCATGTCTACCCAGGTGCTTTCCCGTCCAATGTGACCAATAGGGGGCAAAAAATTCAACAACATGCAACCTTGATAGTGATTACTCAACTACTAGGGCATAAAAAGCATAACAAAGTCTTTGCTCAATTATTAACTAACTCACTCCCCCACCACATCATCCTCCAAAGTCAAATTTTCAAATTTTTAAAAAACTAGGCATTCCCAAAACAAGCTTGATGTTATAAATGAAACTGCTCTAACGATGGCACTCATAGGCATTCAGGAGGAAATAGAGCAGGGGAACGAGGTGAGACAAACAAAATTATTCCACAGGTTAGTGAAAGTTATTGTATGCTGCAGTCTATTGTGTGAAGTTTGTAACTTTGCACTTGCAGAATACATCAAATTGTAACCAAAAAGTCAAAAGGGGAGGAAAACTCCAGAAAAATTGGATTAAAGTTAGTCATGAATGGAGGTAAGACAACTCAGGCCAGGGCTTGGACTTAATGAAAACTAAAAGAAAATCACAGAAATTGAAACTGCATGAAGTCCACAGTTTACAAGCGAAGTACCTGAAAAGAATGTAACTGTAATAATAATAATAACCATAGCATAGGAAAAAGGATAGCTAGCGAATCTTCATAAATCAAATCAATTCCTAAAATAAAATCAGTTATTCCAAACATACTCATAAGAATTTCAAAAGACGACCCGACAGCCCTAAAATAAGTTATGAACCCAACCAGCCACCAAAACTATAATTAAAATATCAAAAATGTTTCATGTATGCACGTTTAACTTTATTTATTTATTTTATTTAAAGATTAGAGAAGTGGGTAAATGTTGTGAAGAGAGAGAGAGAGAGAGAGAGAGAGAGAGGGACCTGAAGACCAGCTCTGGAGGAGCGAGAAACAGGTTTCTTCTTATCCTTGTCTTTGTCCTTATCTTTGGATGAAGCTGGGGTTTTACCCGTTATCAATCCTTTTGCCCCTTTTCCCGACATCTCGATCAATTTTCAATTAACTTAACTTAACTCACAAAACAAAACCCCTTTCAGTTTCAGATTTCCAAACAACAGTGATTTACACCGGGTGCGCCTGGGTCGTCTACGGTATATTTATTTCATTCGCAACGGAACGGAGCGGTACACCTTTCTTAAATTTATTTTTATTTTAAATAAGGATTTTATAATAGTTATATTGTAGGAAAAGTGACTGTGTTACGTTATAGAGATTCGTTTTGCGTGTCGATTTTTTTTTTTGCTGCGGGTCCCACAAAATGTTGTGTGGGTAGGAAACTTTTTGTGATAATGTTAAATGATAGATGATAAACCCTTTAAATAAACTTTGTAATGAGAAGTATTTTTTTCTGAAAATAAAAAAAGAGCCATCCAAGTATGTTTACTTCACACAATCACTGGTAGAAATCCGCATGAAGGACTTAATCCTTCTGTCTTGCGGAGGTAAAAAAAATCATTTTAAGAAATCAAACTTATATAATTAAATAAACTTTTGAAAAAATCTGAACTTATCATGTTTATTAAACAATCTTAAATTAAATTAGTGTTTGGTTGAGGAGAAATTTTTTGAATACTAGGGAAATGTAATTATTAGGGAAATGGTTGGAAAATGAATTTGGTAGGAAAATGTAAAAAAAGTTATTTGGTTGACTGAAATATTACCAGGGAAATTTATTTAAATTTGCAAATTCTATGTTCGGGAGAAACTTCACACCTGTTTATTCATTTTTTCAGTTATCTCAAAATACCACATCTCAAGTGATATTATGTAACAGTGAATTCCATCCAAAATCAACACAAAAGTCATTTCTCCATCTATCCTATTTGCCTAGTATATTTTTAAAAAACCTGAACCAAACGTGGTATTTTCCAATATCCAGTTACATTTTCTCATCAATCTCAAAATAAATGTCCGACCAAACACTACTTAGACTATTCATCCTTAATACGTTGCTTGGCTTATTGTAGCAATTTTAAATTGCTGTTTACCAATTATGCAGCTACTGTTTCCGGGGAGAGTGTACAATCATTTTATTTTTTAATGCTGTTTTAGGATAGAAATATTTTTTTTATTTATGTTTAGTAAAAAAATTTAGACCGGGGAAACTCATTTTTCAATTCAATAAATAATATTGAACGCTTGTAATCAACAAAAATTTACAGTGCAAGATTTTGTAGTTTAAGAGGAACGTTTTCTTCCATTGATTGTTCTCTCATTCTTTTTTTCTCCACTTTTAAAAGCAATTGTTGAGACGCTACTGAAAGGAATATTGAATAAACATTCTGTAATTATTCAAGAAATTGCAATGCGAGGATAAATTGTCTAAAAAAAAAAGATAAAATGATGGTTATGTAGATGTGGAGGAATCCAAATTAATTCTAGAGAAGAGAGGTGTATTGAGAACAAAAAGCTGGCAAATTTCATCCGATACTGACTATTGATTATTGAACAAATATGATGCAATTTCATGTAGATATTGTCTGCTACAATTACCACTGAAATTAATTTTTAGAGCAACATATTTACCATGCTCCTCCCTCCCTTTGCATAATGCCATCAAAGGGCTAAGTCACATTTTCAAACCCTGCAAGTGGAAAAAAATTACCATATTTTCAGTGCCGATAAGATCATTCATAGTTCACATTTTAACAAATCAATAAGCATAAGCACTCAACTATCCATCTAAGATTGGAATAAAAAAGTTTACAAACGAATGGATATAACTGAAATTTTTCATTTATACTATTGTGCTATTTTACAAATCCAGCTCATATAGCTAGTTTGAAACTTGATTATGTCTGGGAAGGAATAAAATCTTTGGTAGTACTGTTGTACCAAAGATTCAGTACATCTCACCAATTAAAATATTACATGTTAACTAAAATACTTTTTTTCTGTTAAATTTTTTCTCTCTCTTCTGATGTGTAAGGCTCTCATTCATGGGATGCACTGGATCTAGGTACAGCAGTAGTACCAAAGATTTATTCTCTAAGAAGAGCTCTATACCACAATCAAAGGCAGATTTTTAATTTTTCAACCCTAACATTTTCACTCATCTCATTTCCATCCATACCCCTGAATGAATCTTTGGTACTATTGTTGCACCAAGATTCAGATATATTATCAATGAGAGCATTACACATCTTAGGAGAGAGAGAAAATTTGACAAAGAAAAGAAAACTTTAGCTGACATGTAATATTTCTTTTGATGGAATGTAGTCTTTAGTGTAACAGTAGCACCAATATTTTCATACTGTGCACAGTACTATTTAAAACATAGTAAATGTACACAATTAATTGAAACCTTATATATTTCAGAAGTATAAACGAAGTCAACCAACTCTTGTAGGTAAAGAAAGACAGCTTATGATTATGATATTTAGGCAATATTAGCTCACCAAAACAAAACCAACACGGAACATAACAATAAATTAAAAGAGAAAAAAAAGTAAAACACACGTAAGTTATCTAGGCTTGAACTCACTGTTGAAATTCTATGTTAATCAAGGAAGCAGAGGCATTTGCGATGGCCTGAAAAGCAGTGGTGGAGAGGACCATAGAAGTTCCAGTGGTGGAAGGCCTAGAAACAGAGGATTGTGCTCGATCAACAATCTTGATCTGAATGGCTTGGCCAGGAATGCAAGTTCTAGGAGCAGCTGCACTGATGCACCGCACCTGATACTGCCTCCCACATGCAGCACCGTTGTCCCATATACCTTCCCCTGCTGAACCAAACATGTTGCTTGATGGAAACTGTGATGCATCTCCGCCGAAACACGCGGTAGCTGTATCATCACAACCCATAAAACACATTCATTCACTGAAACTTGGTTTTGGTCCGTTTGAGGATAATATATGTCAACGTTTCAAATTACCCATTTTTTTTTTTTTTGGTACATGAAATTAACAGTTTTATTCAAGCACAATAAATATATATATATATATATGTGTGAATTTTTTTATTTTTTTTTTGGTACTTACGTAAAAAGGGAGGGCCATATCGGGAAGCAGTGCCAACGTCACCATGAGAGTAGTGGATGAACAGTGTTGAGAGGATGAGACTCAACAGGATTGGGTGTTGGAATGAAAGATGAGCCTTGGACATTGCTGCAAAGTGCAAATTAACGAATTGAAGAAACGTGAAGCCAAATATGCTAGAAAATTTGTAAACAAGGATTTTTAGAGTTCCAATGTCAGCGCTAAAAAATTTTGGTCAACAAACGGCGCCACCTGTTACATTAATTTCTAGGCTTCTAGCGAATCACGTACCTTTTAATTTATTTTATTTTTTCTCCCTAGTTTCTAGAAAATTCCTGGAGTTAATTGTACTTGTTTGATAAATAAAACCATTGACTTCGAAATATCTGGATAATTTTTTTTTTGTTTTACAAATATTGGTAAAAGATTTTTCTGAGTCAATGGAGATAAGTTATCTCCAGTAAACTCGAAACGACATCGTTTTGAGAAGGAAATCAAAGTATTTTTTATAGTTATAATATATTACAGGGTTATTAGTCTTTATCATTATATTTTTTTAATCTTATAATTTAAAACGACATCGTTTTGAACTCACTGAAAATAACTTTATCTCCGATTGGAGAAATACTTTTTCAGTAGGATAATTAATTAGTAGGAAAAGTATTAATTCTAACAAACTTAATTTTTCTTTTTTTATTTAAGTAGAACTTGTAATAAGAGGTAACCTAATTTGTTATTGTAATTGTAAATCTCACCTCGTCCCGATGAATTTTGAATCTCTGCAACAAAGTACATCATACTGAAACTCAATCATTGAAAGCGTATTCAACGGCGAAAATTTAGTTTAGCATGATTATAAGAAGTGTAATTTCTCGTTAGAGGGCGTTTGGTTCTGGAAAATGAGAAATGATTGGAAAGATAGATAAAGTGAGATAGGTAGAAAAATGTAAAAAAAAGTTATTTGGTGGGAAAAAATTTTACTGGGAAAATTAGGTAACTTTATGAAATCAACAGTGCATTAAAAGCCAGATAACCGGTTTTCCGAAAAATCCCACCTTCAAATTGGGTTTCTAAACAGTGCGGATATTTATGTTTCTCATAAATCCAGACAAATTAGATAGATGGGTTTTTGGTGAAAAACGTTGAAACAAACATGGTATTTCTAAAAGCCATACTTGAAAAAAATAGATATCCACTGAAAAACTTACAACCAAACACTACGGAAAGTTATCACTGCTTTGAATTTTTTTTCATCAAGAGAGTGACGTAAGAAGTGTAATTGAAAATTCTTCGCACCAAATGAAAGTTATCAGTGCTTTAAATATAATTTGTCTAATAAAAATTGCAATTTAAATATTTGAAAATTCAAAAAAAAATTGTTAAACTGAAAGGTAAGACAATTATTTTTAAAATTTCAAGTTAAAGAAAATTATATGCAATTTTTCCAAATCACACAACAATTTACAAACTAATACACAAAATCAACAAATACGTTTTGTGGCTCATTTAGAAAATTAAATAAGACAAAATACACTTTAATCCATAACTCTCTCCTTCTCTCTTTCTTTATATATATATATATATATATATATATATATATATATTTATATTTCTGCATCTACTTTACGTACAATAATCAAATATTTATCATATATATACGTGAAAATATTAAATATGAGAAATCATAACCATAAAAATAATTTTAACATATAGAGTATCTATCAAAGAAGGTGATGTAAAATAAATATGTAAATATGTATTAAAAAAAATGTAAATTGAAATGTCATTTCCGGCAAGGTATTAATTGGAGCAACGCCTGGTTGTTTTGTAGTTGTTGAAAGATTCTATGAGATCTCATGGAAAGCTGACTTTTGGTTCTATTTTGTCGGTTCTCAAATTACAAAACTTGTGATTGTAAGTGTCAAATGTCGATTCAATCATGATACGTTTTTTCTATTTTTTTCATTTATTGACAAATATAAACAGACATAGTATAACTTTGGATCCTCTTATTTTTAAGCTAGAAGCTACTTATAAGCTAAAGTTAAAAAAAAGAGCTTAAAAAAAGAAGTTAAAAGCTGTTTGGAAATTACATAAAAATTTTAGCTTAAAAATTAATTAAAAGCACATATTTCAAGAAAATTATCTCTCTCTATCTTTATCACTCCTCATTTTAAAAAAAAGCACACAATTCAAGAAAAACAGATAAGAGCTTAAAAAAAAGCTCTTCGTTATAAGAGCTTTTTACAAAACCTGTTTGGCCTAGCTTATACTTATAAAGAGCTTCTAGCTTAAAAAAAAGAGAATGCAAACTGGCACTAAGTTATGGGTCTCGGCTGCCGTCGGCGGTTGGGAGTTATAACATATATGTTACATATGTCAACCCTGCGACTCCATTGGGGATAATATAAATAAGGAAAAACAAATTAATTAAATTACAAAAAATCCAATTCTATTTCTTTAAACCTTTTTTCCCTTTCTGCTTGAGGGAACAATGGCTTACAGTGAAGAAATTTTTACATACTACAAAAATATTATAGTTGAGATTTCTTTTAAAAAATAAATAAAAGTTTATCTAACAGTATGTATAAAATTCAATTTTTATACCACATGTGATGCAAGAGTAATTCTCTATAAAGATATTCTCATGGTGGTGAATTTGGGTACAATATCGACAAATCATAGAAGATGCCGCAAAACTTAACAAATGCAAGAGCTCACAATGTAAAGAGACATAAAGTGTATTGACGTCCTGAATGGCTAGTTCACTTCACAGCGCTATCAAAGTGTTGGGAATGACAACTCTAGCCTCAAAGAACGGTTACATGCCTGCGAAAGTGAGTGTCGGTTTTCTAAAATCCCATGAGAAATTTTTTGGAGGAAAATTATTTTTTCGGAATTTTATTTTATGTGTATTTTTTAAATCAAAATACTACTGAAAAATACCATTCAGATAATGTTATTTCAGAAATCCCAGATAATGAAAAAATATGAATTAATTTTTTAGAAAAAATATTCAAATATATTATCAGAAAAATTAACCTAATATTTTTGCGAATATTTTGACATCCCAAATAACTTTTGAAAATGCGCTATTAAAGGAAATTTCTCAAGAATATTATTAAAAAACTATTTTGTAGACCAAAATATTCTCAGAGTTATTGGCTTAAATTTCCTAATTATATGTTTGGTTGAATATCAATGATTATTGAGAATGTGGGCTGGTTTTACAAAACTAACTTTCAATAAATTTTTGAAGGAAATTTTTTTTTGATATGTCACAAAATGATCAAAACGTAGCGTTAGAGATCAAACTCAAATTTTCCAAATGAAATTGACTTTTTTCAAACTAGTATCGTTCTCAATAAACATGTCGTAAAAGAAAGGGAAAAGAGGAACCTACGATCTTGTGAAAAGTATCAGAGCTTGAACAAGAGAGATATTTTAATTATGAAAATATTAAAGCAGAGTTATTTTTATTTTTTTTTTTTATAACAAAAGCAGAGTTATTTATGTCTTATAAATGATGTAAAAAAATTTCACCAGGTAGGAATCCAAAAATACCTCCCACCTGGTGATATTATTTCATGAGATTCTTATTTACAGTTTTAATTCCTAGGAATCTCATTTTTTTAGGAAAATTTTAAGAATCTTAGTACCAAACGTGAATAACTAGGATTCCCGGTATAAGTTTAGTGGGAATCTAAAATTTATTCCGTTATCAAACGACCCTTTAAGAGAAAATGATGCTTCCACAACCATTTTTCACACATTTCTTTACATTAATTCTAAAAAAGAAAAAAGAGAGAATATATTAAAATATATATTACTGTCTATACCAAAAGTATATATTATTCTTATTTTATTATTTATGAAAGGTAGGGTAAAAATGATATAGTAAAAATAGTATATAAATAGTATTATCGTTCGTGTCTTCCTTCGTTATCTATCATTTTGAATAATCCCATGATATAATATTCTGTTTTGTTCTATAGTTCACTAAATAATGAATAATATAACTTCCTTTTGGTTTTTGAACCTTTAGAGAGTAACTGTCAAAGTTCGGAAAATGTTAATATATATTTTTTGGATAAGTAATCTACATATGAATTGAATCTGTAATATTATGTTTGCATTAATAAAATAAATAAATTCGAATACATTTTATTTTAGAAATTTTAATATTTTAAAATTATTTGTCCCTTAAAAAAATAAAGAAGGCATTATTTTGTTTTAATTTCATTATTGTCTCTTGGTATTTCTACTAAGTAGAATGAAAAAAATATTAATGAAATGAAACAGTAATTTGACCATTGAATATTTAATAATTTTCTTAACATTTGCTCAATATCTTAAATAATAATTATTTTGAAAAATGCTCGGATCATTTTACATTCTCAATTTTGATAATTAATTCTATTTACATATAATAACTTTGATTTACTAGATATATAAATTATTATATATAAGCAAATCGATGATCAAAATTAGTTATCTATATTTAAGACTTTTTTAAGAGTCGTTTTGAAAATGTGTCAACAGAGAACAGAGTTGGTAGTTTTAGATTTGATTCACGCATGGGAAAACAGATATCATAGCTAAAAATAAAGAATCTCCAAACGGCTAACTGTAATTTTTCACCTATTGGTTCAATATATTATGAAAAATCCAAATAAATAAATAAGGAAATTGTTATTTTAAAGGATATAAATTTATATCATTTTAGATCCTAACCGTTGATTTTCGTCCATCAACGGTTATAATTTATTAGATCAAAATTATTAATTAATTAATAATAAATTTGTCCCATTAAGTTTGACCCAATAGATTATAACTGTTGATAGACGAAAATTAACAGTTAAAATCTAAAATGATATAAGTTTTTATCCTTTAAAAGATAGATATTTTTCCCAATAAATAAATTGAAATAAGACAAAAAAATAAAATAAAAAACAAAGTTAATTTCTGAATATTATACTTCCAAATTTGCCCTTCAGGCATACAAGTCCAGGAGAAAAGCTACGGGTGAGTCGGTGGTTAGATTCTGGGCCTTGTCGTCGATGTTGTCTGTTGTCTAATTCGTTCGTGTCTTCCTTCGTTATCTATCATTTTGAATCATCCCATCATACTCAATTTATTTATTTATTTATTGATTTTTGTTGTTGATGAAAAATAGCTCTCAAGTTATGGAATCATGGTTCCTCGTAAACTGTGAACTTTGAAGATTTTCAGTAACAACACTTTGTTTCATTTCTCAATGGGTAGTGCTCCTGCTAGATACCCACTTGGAATCTCTTTTCATTCCCAAGAAGCTCTCCCTCGCATAGTTGACTACTCAATCTCCCAGTTCCCCCTTCATGTGGACCTTTCAAGAGTTACCTTGTGCCCACGTTCTGCTTCAAAGGTATATATCTCTATTATGTGTTATTTGATAATGATTCATTGCAGAGAACACAATTCACGCCATTAAATATAAGATTTTTCAAAAGTATTATTCTCCATGCAATTGGGATAACATGGATGACTTAATAATATGGTGTTAGACACAGAAGGGTCACTAGCATGGTTAACAATGTTAAAGTCTTAATTTTTACAACATTATGGATGAATGAGTAGTATCTGATAAGTTCTGGATGTAGGGATTAGTTGATCGAGTGTGTGCACTACCTGATATTGATGATTTCTACTGGGAGAAATTTCCAACACCCATTCTTGACACGGTTGAAAATCCCATTTGCTTGAAGAACTTGTCTCTTAAGGTATTTTTATCTTATTCGTTTTGTTTTTACATCATTTGTACTTGCAATGTTGCAGTATCTCATTCCCTAAATAATTGTATTTGCAGGAACTGAAACAATTAGCTGTTGAAATCCGTTTGGATTTGTCTTCTATTATGTTAGGTACACAAATATCACCGAAAGCAAGTATGGCAGTGGTGGAGCTGACAGTTGCAATACACCATGTTTTTCATGCTCCCGTAGACAAGATTTTGTGGGAAATTGGGGACCAAGTAAGATTTGATTTGTAAACAATAATGCAAGTGTCTCCTTCTTATTTTAAATTTTCCTCTCTCCTTTTGGAGTTGGGAAGTTGAATGTGTATAGCAGATTGTTATAATTGTTCTTTCCTTGGAGTTCTTTTTGAAACAAACTAATGAATATTCCCTTTTCTTGGAGTTCATTTTCTAAGAATTCAATGAATGACCTGTTTTGGATGATATAACCCATTCAAACTTATTCATTATTTGTGTGCAGACGTATGCACATAAGATTCTTACAGGAAGGCGATCACTCATGAAGTCAATGAGACAAAAGAATGGCCTTTCTGGTTTTACTTCGCGATTTGAGAGTGAATATGATGCATTTGGTGCAGGTCATGGATGCAATTGTATTTCTGCCGGACTTGGTAGTTTGTAAATCCTTTTCCCTTTTTGACAATATTAGTTTCTTTGATCATTGTTCACGCTTTGTTCATTTTTGTTGTTGTCATTTACTGTTCTGAGTATATGCATGTGGATTGATAAATTATACTTTTTTCTGCAATGAATAAGGCCACTTCACATTTTCCTTCTTAGTTGAATTAATAAAATTCCTATAGATGAAGTTTAAAGTGATCTCAAAATCATATCTAGTACACTTTATTTCAGGCATGGCAGTTGCACGGGATATTAAGGGGAGGCGAGAACGTGTAGTTGCAGTTATCAGCAATTTGACAACTATGGCTGGTCAGGTGTACGAGGCAATGAGCAGTGCAGGATATTTGGACTCAAATATGGTGGTGATTTTGAATGACAGCCGTCACTCTATACTCCCAAAAATTGAGGAGGGCCCAAAGACATCTGTCAGTGCCTTATCTAGTACCCTAAGCAGGCTCCAGTCCAGTAAATCTTTCCGAAGATTTAGAGAAGCTGCTAAGGTTTCTGTCTTTTACTCCTCCTTTGGGAGAAAGAATGCTAGATAGATGTAAATTAGTCTTCAGTATTTGTTGCTAGCATGCAGGTCCATATATGACAATGCCACATCATTCAACTTTAAAATGAGCCTAGTAAAATGGATTAATACACTAAAAGTATTATTATATGGTTTGTGGCCTGTCAAAAATATTCACCACTTTTCTTTTTAATTTCCTGTCACAACTGAGTTTGTGCATCCCCCGCCTTTTGCTCTAGTTATTCCATGTTACCTTCTCATTCAAAACAAGTGATATATCTAATAAGTAATAATGATGATCCTTCCTTTAGACCCCAATTTTCATATCTTAGTGCCCTGTGCTTCATATTCACATTATGTTTAAGTTAGTGATAATTTATCTGCTTTATCTCAGGGTGTTACGAAGCGAATCGGTAGAGGTATGCATGAGTTGGCAGCTAAAGTTGATGAATATGCTCGTGGTATGGTGGGTCCCCTAGGTTCTACTCTTTTTGAAGAGCTTGGGTTGTACTACATAGGCCCAGTGGATGGACATAATATTGAAGATCTATTATGTGTTCTGCAAGAAGTAGCATCCCTGGATTCAATGGGTCCTGTCTTGGTTCATGTGATAACGGATGAAAATCAGGGAGAAGAAAACAGTCAGAAAAGTGATATAACAGATGGGCAGCAGGGTGGTATGCTTTTTGCTATTCGCTGTCGTAATTGTATTCTATGTAGTGTTCCATTGCATGTTATTTCTTGTTGTGAAATAGCTTATAATTATATTGCCAAATTACAAGCTTACACTCTAGTTCTTAGTATCATTTATTTATTTAATTTTTGGTTTTCCACTTTTTTCCCACTAGTTGAGTTTATTTCAAATACTTAAGCCTTTCAGAAAATGAAATGAATAGCTTCATTTATTGATTAGCTTACAGATAGACTTTATACAACAGCTTGAAGATAACTAACTTATTAAGGATATGATACTATATAAAACAACAACAACAACATTAAACAATCAAGCCTCATCCTGCTAGGTGCGATCAGCCACATGGATAAGTGGACACCATTGGGCTCTATCAAAAACAAAAATTCCAGTAAAACCGTTCAGAGCAAGTTCTTTTTTAATGTTATTTCCTAACATTTTCTTAGGTGTTCCTCTATCCCCTTTAATATTCTTTCCAAGCCTTTTGACCCTTACTTGAGCTGAAGCCAAGCCAGTACTGCAATTATTTGGCTTCTTATCTGGATTAGTGTGGATATTATTAATATTTCATATAGGTATACCGCCATCTCTTCTGAATGCCAGGAGATTATAATTTATCTTCTTTATGTCTTGACTGTCACACTATTTTGAAAATTTGAATGATATGTCATTTGTCCAAACAATTTTTAATGAGTTGCCTATGTTAACTTTTCAGATTCTGTTAAATCTGATTCGTTAGATTATGCTGTTTGGCCTCGAACATATGGTGATTGCTTTGTGGAGACTTTGATTGCAGAAGCAGAGAAAGACAGAGATATTGTGGTTGTTCATGCAGGAATCATGATGGAACCATCACTCAAACTGTTTCGGGAAAAATTTCCAGATAGGTTTTTTGATGTGGGAATGGCTGAGCAACATGCAGTCACATTTGCTTCTGGTTTGTCATGTGGTGGGTTGAAGCCATTTTGCATTATACCTTCCTCCTTTCTACAAAGAGCTTATGATCAGGTTCAACCTTATTTCAGCTTAAACTATCATGATGATCACTATCTGTTGTTCACAGGAAATGGGAATTTCTTGGAGAATAAGATATTTATAGTTGATATTAACTTTTAATCTAATGGTTTCTATAGAAAAGAATTTAATGTCCAGCATGAAGGATGGACTATATTTGGAAACCTGTTGAACAGTTACCAGTACTATTATTATTATTATAATTATATGAAGAGAGAGATAGCAAAAGAGAAGGAAAGCGGTAACAGTATTACATATCTGGTACATGCCTAGGCTGCCAAATTGTAAGGACTGAAGGGTTTGTACTTTATGAACCTTCAGGGAGTCTGGTACTCAAGGATCTATGGCAGTGTTCGCAAAATTATGTAACAAGAAGAAGTAAATAGGTATCATATCATTATGTGGAATTTTAACAAGCAACTATTGTGTCGGTGGGTGGAAGTGTGCCTACCTTCTTGTATACAGAATGGATACTTAGTGCACATTGCATAATGATTTGATATAAGTAATTACAATTTTTAACATGTTACATGTCAAATATAGGTTGTCCATGATGTTGATCAACAGAAAATTCCGGTGCGTTTTGTCATTACAAGTGCCGGATTGGTAGGTTCTGATGGTCCTGTCCAATGTGGGGCATTTGATATAACCTTTATGTCATGCTTACCAAACATGATTGTCATGGCGCCATCTGATGAGGTTGAACTGATGCACATGGTGGCTACTGCAACCCAAATCAACGATAGGCCAGTTTGCTTTCGGTATCCAAGGGGTGCACTGGCTGGGGAAGAACACACTATATGTGATGGAATCCCCATTAAGGTAATTGGGCGACTCACTATTTTCTTGATACATCGTGAGTTATGCTGAAACCTATTACTTTGAAAAGGGTAAACTAATTGTCCGTTTGTCTAGACATGAATTTAACTGGAGGAAGCAACAGTCATTTTTACATTCACCATAGATTTTTCATAATATTGTATAATATGTCTTCCTTATTTAATTTTGGAGTGGCCGTAATTTATTCATGCACAGATTGGAAAAGGTAGAGTTCTTGTTGAAGGTAAAGATATTGCTTTACTGGGATATGGATCAATGGTTCAGAACTGCCTAAACGCTCATTCACTTCTTTCAAAGCTTGGCATTGAGGTGACTGTTGCTGATGCAAGGTTCTGCAAGCCCCTTGACATGAAGCTTCTGAGGCAACTTTGTAAACACCATTCTTTCCTAATTACTGTTGAGGAAGGATCTATTGGAGGATTTGGTTCCCATGTTGCTCAGTTCATTGCACTTGATGGACTGCTTGATGGAAGAATTAAGGTAATTAGTTCAAGCTACGTGGGATGGTTATACTTGCTTTATGGTTTTAAAAATATTTGGGATTGTGAATGTGTTATTGGGCTTCCATTTATAATTGGCTTAAAGATATATTGTTGACTATTAGTCATATAAAATTGACAATCTGTGAACTTCTTTCATTTCTATACCTCTTTGAATTTCTTGGTGGGAAGATATAGGTTTATCTTTTCATAGCACCCAAATATTTGTTATGTTGTGTATACATGGGATTTGCAAGTAGCTTGGCTTCCCTTTCATACAACCTATTGTTTAGTTTAATATTATTTTAAAGATCATTTGGTAATCTAACCTATGTTGTATTTGTTGCATTTTCAAACATACATAGCTTTGACTTATCATGCATGGCAAGGTATGAGTAAATTTTGTTTTGTTTGAGCAAGTAACTAATATTTTGTTTCATTTATATGGATAAACTCTTCCAGTGGCGACCAATTGTGTTACCAGATTGTTATATTGAGCATGCAATACCAAATGAGCAGCTTGACCAGGCAGGGTTAACTGGACATCACATTGCTGCCACAGCCTTGAGTTTGCTAGGCCGTACCCGTGAAGCTCTCCAATTTATGTGCTCCTGAGACTCTTATGCTTCGTTTCCTTTTGCAGATATGATGAATGGAAGTTGGATAGCTGAATAGGAGAATCAAGAATGCCTAGGGTTTACTGATCTCTTTTTGTATTTGTAATCTTGTGTAGTTCTGCTTTACATGTCTGGTGAATAAAAGAAAAGATATCATGAATGCCATTTTAATGTACAGTACTGATGTCAAATAGAAAAAAAGAATAATATTAACTGTGACACGGCCTAACAAATCTAAGATCTATGATGAAATTGAGAATGCATTTACTTACAAGTGCCATGAATGATGATACTAACAAAAGTATGAAGCATGAACGTTTTATGTCAACTTCAGCAGTTATCTTTTGATCAGTAACTTTAGTAGTTCACATAACATTTGACTCAATGGTCGTTCGCGTTAGTTCTGAAAAATGACTAAATGCTAGCAGGTAACTAAGGCTATTATACCATCCCTTAGAAGTTTATGTTTGGAGATAATAATAATAATAAAAGTGTTGTGTGTGTCTCTTCGTGTGTTTATTTTATGGGCTTTCAACTTCTCCTCTCGAGAAGTTTAGAATTTCCGGTTGAGAGAGAAAAAATGTGGTGCCCACCTTAAAAAAATAAAATAGATGATGCAGAAATCGAAATGAGAGTGGCATGAAAAGAGATTTCTGTTTTCACTCCTATGAAAGGAGAAGTGTTTTTCCTTAATCTTATCAAAAAAATATTTTTAGTGCATTTACTCCCAAAACAGCGTCGTCTGGAGTTGAAATATTAAAAAATTATAATTACAAAGACTATTATAATATTGAAATAAATTAAAATTATAAAAATATTTTATTTTTGCCCCAAAACGATGTTGCTTGGGGTTTAATGCAGATAACTTATCTACATTTACTGCAGAAAAATGAACTCTTATTTTATTTTATATAACCTTCATACATGCTATTTAAAGGAAGTTTGGATGAGTATTTTTTCTCTCCAAAAATTGTTTTTTTAAAGAAAAAAAGAACTTATAAAAAAAGTTTGTTTAGATGTCTACTTTTAAAAAAAAACAGAAGTCATAAAAAAAGTCAAAATTGCTTTTTTTATAAGTTAAAATTTTAGCTTTTAAAAAAAACATAAGTCAAAAGTCAATTTTTTTTTTCCAAAATCAAATATTTTTTTAAAAAATCTAAATAGCTTTAGCTTTTGTAAAAAATATTTTTAAACAAGTAAGACATAAAAAAGATTCATTTGGGAACACAATTCAAACGGGCTCTTATTCCTTAAAGTTGTCATTTTAACTTTTTACCACAGCCTTCACTAAATAGGTCTCTAACTAAAGAGAAACTTTGGAGCACCAAAACTCGGAATAAATTTTTGGTGCTACTGTTGCACCAAAGATTCAGTATATTCTATCAATAAAAATATTATATGTCAGTCAAAATTCTCTTTTTTTCTGTCACATTCTCTCTCTCTCCTCTGACATGTAATACTCTCATTGATAAAATACACTGAATCTAGGTGCAACATATGCACCAAAAATTTATTCCAAAACTCGGTGCTTCCCTCTCTCTTAATTGGGAAAATTTTTATGTCACTTAAGCTAGTATTTTTCTCTTTAAATCCCCATTTAAGCGAAAGGGGAGCACCAAAGTTTATCTACCCTGACTCAAGTTTGAAACATAGGAACAAAGATTCATGTGCCACCAGTGTGCTCGCTTTTTACATGTAATAATAGGAGAGAATCTCACAGTCTGCATCAGCGGCAGATAACAATGAATAAAATAATTTTTACGTGTATAATTACTAAAAATTATATGGTTTATATGGAGGAGAACCATATATTTATCACTATATAAAAATGGTTCACTTTTTCTGCAGTTACTGCACATAAGTTATCTGCAATAAGCTCAATACGACATCGTTGGGCGGAAATCATAGTGTTTTTGTAATTTTAATTTATTTTAAGGTTATAATAGTCTTTATATTTATAATTTTTTAAGATTTTAATACCAAAACGACGTCGTTTTAGAATAAATGCAGATAACTTATCTGCAGTAACTGCAGAAACATTTTCTCCAAAGTTTATCACTCTTTCAACTAACTTAATCATCGTTGATTTTTATCAATCTAACTATTATAATTTATTGAGAATTAATAAAATTTATTGGGTCATACTTATTAATTAATTATTATTTTTTAATAAATTATAACCGTTAAATTAATGGAAATCAATAACGATTAGGTTAGTTGTAAGAGTGGTAAAACTTTTTGGTGATAAGTATATTCCTCCCCTTATATGGAATATATTATTCTATTTATTTTTGTTTCTTATCTACATATTTTTAATATCATTAGATCATAATCTCAAGAGTAGAGAGAAATAGTAAGATTTTGATCCAATAGTATTGAAGATGAATAGGTAAGAATATCCTCCCTAAAAAAAAAAATAGACAAAATATCTTATCCCGATTGATGTTAGAATTTATATTAAAATATTTATATTACCTATTTATTCCGTGTCATTAATTTTAGAACTAGTTCCTTATTAGAACAAAGGATTAGGCATAAAAGTTTCGTCTTCAATTGTGTCATTTTAAGAGAAAAAGATACAAACAATGAAAATTACGAAAGAGAAAGTGAATAATTTTTTTTTAATTTAAATTTTAAATAAAAAAATTAAATTAAATTATTCTCTCACTTAAAATGACACGATTATATATAATGGTGCACGGACACGGACACGGAACACGGGACACGACACGATACAACACGCCGACACGTTAATTCTAAAAAATGTCATATTTGGACACGTTGGGACACGTTTTGATATTAAATAAAATTTTTAATATATAATATAATTTATATTTAATACATATAAGAATCCATAATAAGTCATATAACCAATTAAATAATCCCCTATTGAAGTTGACTAGTACATTTAAACTGAACAAAGAATCTTGCACATAATTTTTTCAAATGAGAATCAAACATGAATAATTGAAGTTTCCAAGTTGAGATTGAAATTAAACCCAACAAGCTGGGTTGCGAAGTTAGAATAATTTCATTCCCAATTTTCAATTTAGCATAATTTCTGTGTATTTGTTTTGGCATCATATTCAATATTTAAATCCCCAAGAAGCAAACCCATTGCACAATTTTATTGCCCTTAAACTTCAGTCCCTCATCCTGCTTAAAAAAACAAACAAACAATTACCATAAGAAGAAAAACATAACAAAGATAACAAAACCTCACGCTTTGTTCGATTTCCTACGCAGGTAACCCATTAAAAAAATTTACATATCAAAATTCAAAAATTACCGAAAAACCACATTTCAACAGATACCTTGTTTGGAATTTGAATAACGAAACCCTAAAGACCAAAGGTTTAAAAACATAGATGAGAGAAACTATCGCAATAAAAAATAAATTAAAATTAAAAAATTACCAGTGAAATGGTGGGCGGCTGGGCGCTAGTGAGAAGATTGTAATCTGCAGAGCAAATTGAAGCAACAAAAATTCGGAGAAGGATCGAAATTGCAGAGAAGAAGATAGCGATAACCTAAGAGCGAGAAACAGAGAGAGAAGGTTGTTTCGGATTATACGATGGGGGGTTTGAAGTAACGAAAAGAAGACACACCACAACGTGTCCCAGACTTTCTGATTTTTTTTTTAATTTTTGTATTTTTTTAATTGTAATTTTATTTTATTTTTACAAAAAAAATGCAAAACGTGTCCCAAAACGTGTCCACATATGTTGATCGCGTGTCGGATACGGTCAAATTCGCGTGTCCCACTAGTCAACTTGTCCTAAAAAGTCAACTACGTGTCGGACGCGTGTCCGTATCGGACACACATTTTTTCTCAAAAAAAGCGTGTCCGTGTTTCTTAGATTATATATCCTTTAAAAGGACAAACATTTTTTCTTTTTAGAACTAGTTCCTTATTAGAACAAAGGATTAGGCATAAAAGTTTCTTCTTCAGTTCAAAGAAATTTTTCAAGGATTGTGCCGCAAGCGAGGTATGCTATGCTATTTTTTTTTTTTTTTTTTTGGTATCCTAGGTATACTATGCTATTATTAAGTGTATCAACCCAATAGTTATTATTATTATTATTATTATTTTGGTAAACAAAAGTTCTAAGCCACAAAATAAAAAAAGAACACAAAAAGAAACTTAATTATTGCAACTCAAAGTATGAGGTCTCCCAACAGTTGACAGATCAGCAAGCAATCGTAACTAGATGCCAGGAGGAGGTTCTTGTCAAACAAGATAGTTTTCCTGCCTCTCATAGTCTAATATGAAATTCGTCAACCAGTCTGCACACGAGTTACCACCCTCAAAGTATGCTTGAAAATCATAGACCAATTTTTATCGATCCATGTCCGTATGCGTGAAATCAAATTATTCTTATAGACTGCTGCATCATTTTTAGTGAGCACACTAATCACACTTGTTGAATCACTTTCAATAATGATGTTACGATATCTAGCATTCCAAGCCATCTCCAACTCCTAAGGACACCCCATAATTCTGCTTTGAATGAATAACATCTCCCTAATTTATACGCAAAGCCACCAAGCCACTTACCACACTCATTACAAATGACACCTCACAAGGAGCTGGACCAGGATTACTATGCGCAGCCCCATTCGTATTAATCTTGACAACACCTCAATTGGAAAACTGGAAAACTGCCAAGATATGTCCACTACCATAATTTTTATGTTAGGAGCCAAATTTGTACATTTGTTTGCAACCTCTTCCACATCCTTTGCAAGATTTTGGAGTAGGTTTTCCTTCACGAAAATGGACGTCAGCGAGGCCCCATGTGTTCTTTCATTTTGCCAATGCCAAATCTTTAGCATGTAAAAAAGAAACTAGTTAGCCATTTTTATCTTGTTTGTTATTAACATGCATGACAGTATTTTCTGACAGTCACCAATCCATATCTTCTAAAAAAGAAATCATCAACTTTATCACTTGAAACTAATTTAAGCCACAATGATTTGATTTTACTATAATCCCGAATGACGTGTAAAATGATCTTCCTTTCTAGGTAAATTAGGCACATGTCATCTGCTCACCGCAAAATGGTTATTATTTAAGTTCCTTTACATTCACATTGTTTTAAGATTAAATTGTAAAATTTTATATTTTGATAATTTTTTTTTTGGAAAATTAACACAAGAAATCAGCAAAATAGCGTTGACATAAAAAAAAAAATTTATAAGAGTTATGTTGTAAGAAAAATGATTATGTAATGTTATAGAGATTTGTTTTTCATGTTTTTTTTTTTTTTTCAAAAAATACAGGCCCCATAAAATATTGTGTGTGTAGGAAACTTTTTTGTGTCATGTTACATGATGAATACAAACCTAAAAAAAAAAAAACGTGGTTCAATGTTTTCAGGCGCTGGGAAGTGTCCAGGGCACAGCAATATGCTGTATTAGCATTCAAGCCAGGTTGTAGCGTCACACGCCATTCAACTAATCAAAATAAGAAGAACACAAGAGAAGAAAGAGAAAGAAATAATTAATGGGATTTCGAAGCAAAAAAACAAAAACAAAAAGTAAGAAATGACAGCCTTATGAAGCCTGACCAACTCAAGCCAGTTAAGACTCTGCCGACTGCCACAACGCGGTTCGGCGTAGTAACCCACTTTTCGTGTGCCAGCGATGCGGACAGTCATCACATGCAACTAATGTTTCTATCAACCCAAGGAACATATTTGGGTACTTTTTTTTGCAAAAGAAAAAATATTTCTTCCAATATAATTCATATTTTTAAATTTTTTTTTTTTATCATTTCCTAATTTTTTATTTTTTTATTTTGGAGGGATGTACCATATATCCACTGCATTGAAGATTTTTTCGACCAAGACCATGTTTTCTTACGGCCTTTTTCCTTTTAAAAAAAAAGTTTAAAAAAAAATTATTTACCAATCTAATCCAAATTAATCAAATTACTTTAGTAATCAGATAGTCACCATCCCGAATTTCTTTTCACCTTTTACTATTATTTTTCTAAATAATAATTAGTATCATAAATAACAATTAATAAATAATACAATTATATTTTAATACTTTTATGATATATTATTTTATGTTATTATTCTATCAATCAATAAAACTTCCAAAAATTCAAAATTCAAGAAATGATGAGAATGTTTCAATAGAAAGAAATTTTTGATCATTTGATACCTCAGACATTGGGCAATTGGATGAAATTAATAAATAATTTCCACGTTAAAAAGACTATATTGGTTTTAAAAAAAAATACCTTTTTAAGGTATTTTTTCATATTAGAATAAAACTTCATCCTAAGTCGACTCAATTCAATTTCATTCAATGGAACAAGCCTGATGATTGCAATGTAGAAAGTTTGAGTACAAATGTTATGCTAACTTTATTTTATATAATGATAACATTAAGCTTTAAATTTATAATCTCATTTAAATTATTTAAATCTTTGTCACTGAACCAATCTTAATAACTTATTATATATTAACTTTAATATACAAAAACAGTGCTTTGTTCCAAATTAAATAATTTATAATCAGACTGTCAGTGTCACATCTCTTGTGTATAATTAAAATTATTCTTCAACTGCTGTTTGAGTTTGACTGACAAACTCATACAAAATGAAAAAGTAAAGATCTCTGATACCAAAAAAAAAGAAACTCGAGACTCAAGTGAATTAATTCATAAAACTATAAAAGAGTAAACAAACGCGTGAGACCCACACGACATTGAAGGAGACATTCCCGGACCCGCTTCATGGTATCGAGGAAGCTACAAAACTACATGGGACCACTCCGAAATACGAGGATAGTCAAATGGATCTACCCCGTGTGGGCCCCCACAAATCTCGGATTTGCCTTTGAATGTTTGTAACTTTTTTTGCATGCCTTGCATTGCCACTTCCTCCCTGTCCCGGTCTCTCTCTCTCTCTCTCTTCTCCAACCCACAGCGTTCTAGAGAGAGAAGATTCCCAGAAAGGGCCCCACCCACCTACACTCCATTCTCCGGGGACCCTCCTTCTCCATCTGCATTGCAGTGTCCACGTTGACCCACCTCCCTCTTTTCCATTCAAGTACTTCTTCTTCTTCTTTCCCAACTTTTCATTTTTAATTATTATGCAACATTATCTATTCATTTTATTTTCCTCTCTCTCTATAAGTCATGCTTTGGTTTTGGCCTCTTCAAATGCCTTATACACGTGCCGTAGCTGCTGCTGATGCGTGAAGCTTCTTCATTGGGTTTACCTCCTTCAACATTCGTGCATTTCTTTCTCCTCTGAAAAGTGAGCACCCATTTTACATTGTTCTTCTCTGATATTGAAAAAAACCTTTTCATTTTTTTTTTAAATAATTGTATTTTGTGTACCCCATTTTTATTGTTTCATTCTATGACTTTTTTTTTCGCTCCCCGTCACGTCCTTCTTGGTTATTGTACCTACATGTCATGTTTCATTCGTATGTTGTGTGTGAACTGTGACATATCCTTGATTTCCTAGATTTTCCCCTGACGATAATAAAAACAAGAAGCTGAAAATGGATTCACGGGATTTCTTATATATTAAAATGAAGTTTTTCACTGCTTTTGAAGAAATGCATTTTCCAATCACATGGATCCAACTGTTTTCTGTCCTTTTTCACATTGTCAATTTTGTCCCTTTTTTATTTTGTTTTAGACACCACCATCCATCAATGCGGTTTCATATTCTCCTTTCTTCTTATATATATATGTGCATGCCAATCGACTTCATTAGCCAATAAGTCCCTTATCATTATATCATACTTTCTGTGTTTCTTCAAATGCAATCAATTTTCTGAGATTTGTCAATTGATATATCTAATCTCCGCATAATTTAGTTCAATATCCACGGGAAACATGTGGACACCATTTAAGGGAATAATTCAAGATGTCAAAGGAAGAGCTGAATGCTATAAACAAGATTGGGTTTGCGCAATCTGTTCTGGCGTTAGGTAATTCTTGTCTATCTTGTGCTATACATTGAATGCTCTAGGACTTTTTTTATTTCCCTAAATGTTGTGTGTTTATGAGCAAAATTCTGATTCATGCTTCTTTGATTAATGGCAGCATATTGGCTCCAACTTTCTACATATTCTTTGCCTCTGCTCTGCCTGTTATTGCTTTTGGAGAACAACTTAATAGGGATACAGGTAAATCTCTTTGATTAATAGTTATTTTCAGGGTTTTTGTTTTTTGCTTTTGTTGATATCATGTTTGTTGTTCTTTAAGCAAGCTTCCATGTCATGTTTTTTACAGATGGAAGCTTGAGCACAGTGGAAACATTAGCATCTACTGCTATTTGCGGAATTATCCACTCATTATTTGGTGGCCAGCCTTTGTTGATTTTAGGAGTTGCTGAACCCACTGTTATAATGTATACGTATCTCTACAGTTTCTGCAAAAAAACGCCAGAACTTGGTGCCAAGCTCTTTCTGGCTTGGTCTGGTTGGTACGGCATTTAACATTATGATCCTGTTTCTGGTTTTTTTTCCCATTTCATGAAACCATAGATTGTCTAATTTTTATGCTCATCTGTGTTGCAGGGTCTGTGTTTGGACGGCACTCTTGTTGATTCTGCTTGCTGTTTTCAACGCTTGCACAGTTATAACTAGGTTTACAAGAATTGCAGGGGAGTTATTTGGCATGCTAATTACTGTTCTTTTCTTTCAAGAGGCTATTAAGGTATTGTTGCTTCCACTTCCTAGCAAAATAGACTGTTGAATTTGGTACAGCAGGGATCAACATGACAAAATTGTTTGAACCACAGGGACTGATGGGCGAGTTCAGAACACCCAAGGCTGAGAATCCTGCATCAGAGGAATTTCAATTTCAATGGCTGTATACAAATGGGTTACTTGCAATCATTTTCTCTTTTGGTGTACTTGTCACTGCCCTTAAAAGCAGAAGAGCAAGAACATGGCGATATGGAACAGGTAAATTATTCCAAATATCTGCCACATATTTTTTTTTTTTTTAGTTTCCCAACCAGTTCATCCTTCGGACTACATTCATCCTTCGGACTACATTCGGTTCGAGCACTTGCATGTTTGGTATATCTGCCACATATTAGACCTTAAACAAAATGTTTTTTGTGTTAGACTTAATTTATCTCATCACTTCATTGATCTTCAGTCTGGCATTCAATGCAGGGTGGCTACGGGGTTTTATTGCAGATTATGGTGTTCCAATGATGGTAGTGTTATGGACTGCACTATCTTATAGTGTACCAGGCAAAGTTCCACATGGTGTTCCTAGAAGACTGTTTTGCCCGCTTCCCTGGGAAGCTGCGTCTCTCTATCACTGGACAGTAGTGAAGGTATTGTTATGCACCTAGTACAATTTTTTCTATACAAAATGCATTCTTTTGAAACGGAATTAGATCCTTTGTTAGCTAAGGATGCTTAGCAAAATACATTGTTTTCGTACTTCTGTTGATTTTGTCCATGCCATGTGAGCATTTTGTTTTTAGATTAGATGTGAGTGTTCAACATTGTGAACTGCAAGCAGCGATTATTGTAATTTAAGCAAGTCCTGATATCCATCTAACATTTACTACAAACTGCAGGATATGGGGAAGGTACCCTTGGTTTACATACTTGGGGCAATAATTCCATCTCTGATGATAGCAGGTTTATACTTTTTCGATCACAGTGTAGCTTCTCAGATGGCTCAACAGAAAGAATTTAACCTTCAAAAGCCATCTGCTTACCACTATGACATTTTACTGCTTGGAATAATGGTATGTTATTTTGTCTCTAAAATCCTGCTTCCTATTTATGTTATTCCATGTTGATCAAGTTGCATGACATAATCTTTATGGTCTTTAGACTCTGATTTGCGGTATCCTTGGCCTTCCTCCTTCAAATGGCGTCCTTCCACAGTCCCCCATGCATACAAAGAGTTTGGCAGTTCTTAGGAGGCAAGTAAGTATCATCTTTTGCATCAAGATTCTAGGTTCTTACTTCTTAAATATAAACTCAATTTAGATTCTTGTATTTCATCATCAATTTGCAGTTGATCCGAAAGAGGGTGGTGAAAAGCGCCAAGGAATGCATTAAGCAACAAAGGACTAATTCTGAATTAATCGGAAAGATGCAAGCTGTGTTTATAGAAATGGATACAGCCCCTACCGTAAGTATTATTGGCTTGATAGCTGTGTAAAGAATCAATTTGTAAAGAACCAATTCAACCCAAAAGCTTAAGCTGTTGGGTGAGGCTACATTAATGATTTTATATATCTCAACACGCCCCCTCACACGAGAGCCCACTGGACTTGAAGGGTGGACAATGCATAGGCCCATCTACCTGTGCGAAGAAAGAAATTTCACTAGAAAGAAAGTGGGGGGCGGTGAGGATCGAACTCGGTACATCGAGGCTCTGATACCATGTAAAGAACCAATTCAACCCAAAAGCTTAAGCTGTTGGATGAGGCTACATTAATGATTTTATATATCTCAACAAGTTGTGTGTCTTTGTGTATGCAGACATGTTCAAGAGTAATACAATGTATGTTTTGAAACTGTGTACAGGTTAAAGAATTGGAGACTTTGAAGGAAGCTGTAATGAAATCTGATAACAAGAATGGTGAAAAGGAAAAATTTGATCCTGAGAAACACATAGATGCATATCTACCAGTCCGGGTTAATGAGCAAAGAATGACCAATTTATTGCAGTCCCTCCTGGTTGGCTTCTCAATCTTGGCCATCTCTGTTATCAAAAGAATACCTACCTCGGTTTTATGGGGATATTTTGCTTACATGGCAATTGATAGTCTCCCTGGAAATCAGTTCTGGGAAAGGATACTGCTTCTCTTTATCACCCCAAGCCGGCGTTACAAGTAAGTAACCTGATGTATAAACTTTTTTCAGACAACCAAGCACGTGAATCAACTGGTAAAGGGTTGTTTTTCAGTGCATAATGGTTATGAAATTGATTGAGTAATCAATCATGGCTTTCAATCTTTTCTATCCTTTGTGATGGAAATGACTCTTTCCAAATAAGCAGAACTAATAATCTATCATTACTGTACAAAATTTAATTTACCTTGTCACTAGGTAGTCTTGAAAAAATAAAATGTGAACTAGTAATCACGTAATTGTTCATTGTTCTTGTGTTGTGTGTTTGAGCAGAATTTTGGAAGGTTCTCATGCCTCATTCGTGGAGACAGTACCATTCAAGACCATAGCTGCATTTACAGCCTTACAGTTTGCATATTTTATGTTCTGTTACGGGGTGACATGGATACCTATAGGTGGAATATTGTTTCCGCTACCATTCTTCCTTCTCATAATTCTAAGAGAACGGTTGCTTCCAAAGCTATTTAAGCCAAGCCATCTTCAGGAACTAGATGCTTCTGAATACGAAGAAATCCTTGGTGCTCATCATGGTTCCCTTAGTGTGCCACTGAGGGTACGATTTATTATTCATTTCTTGTTATGACGAATCATGTTTTTTTGTATATTCCGAGCTTTTCAACTTAGGACATGAAAATGTTTGATCAGGAAAAGGAGCAAAATGATTCTGATACTGATGGAAGCTCGGAAGATTTCTATGATGCGGAGATATTGGATGAGATGACAACCAACAGAGGAGAGTTGAAACTTAGAACTGTAAGCTTCAATGATAGAAACCTGAGCTTCAGTAGTAACAGCTTCAGCGAAGATAGACACTTTCAGGTAAAGGACTTGTAGAATCCTTTTAAGGTTTCAACTTTCAATAAAAGGAAAATAGTTTGTCATTTTAAAGCATACAAGTTGTGTTATTTTAGTTGCTTTTATACTTGTATACTCCAAGAAATACATAGTTATAATATTAAAGTTGTATTTTTTTTTTCTCTTCAAAATTGTCGGCTGACGTAAAAAGTAGAAAAAAATACGACTTTAATATTATAAGTATATACTCTCCGGAATACATAGTTATAAGCAGTTAAAATGACACAACTTGTATCTATTAAAATTACAAAACTTTTTCCCTTCAATAAATGTCTAGTATTAATTATGTTTGTCTCATGGACTTGGACAGGTTTACCCTGATGGTGCTATCTGAATATGATGAAATCTCTCTGCATACAACGTTTTTTAGGATGCAGAACGGGTTTGATATATAAATAGTATGTTCCTCTGGAGAGGAATAATTTTGATTCTTGTGTAGTCAATTAAGGTTGAAGATGATCTTCTGTGGAACAAGAAAGGATTCGATCGGTGGAACAAAGGAAAGAGAATTGGACTTAAAAAAATAATCATTTGAACTGTGAAATGGGCTTTAATTTTAAAGTATTGAGATCAAAGGTCAATTCTTTCCTTAGTTGACTACGAAGTTAACAAAAAAATGAGACAGGTTGGGGTGGAGAAAAAAGAATGATATGATATGACAAATAAGAAAGATAGAGGGAAGAGCAAGAAAATGAGAAAATTCAAAAATATCATGCTAATTTTTTAAGCTAAAATATAGATAAATGTCATTAGTGCATTCTCCATTTTTTTTGGTTTACACTTGTTTTGATTGAGTATAGTAGAGTTAGTATGTAAAGACATATTCTCTTTGAGCCAGCATAATAATTTTGTTCGTAACAATCAACAACAGCGAAGGGTATTCTATCAGCTTTCAACGCTACCATCATGAAAGTTAAGGAATCGAATAGTATTTGGTTTAAATATATTTAGGATGTAATATGTACCTTTGGTACATTATTATTGACTTTGATTTTTATTTATTTATTTATTTTTAGGTGCTTATACATTAATTTTAAGTTCTACTACGTTTGTAAACATGCATGCTTATGATGATTTATTTTATTACATGCTGAGGTTACTGCTTTTCATAGTTTCAACATGTTCGACGACGTTACATAGCCGTGAAATATTTCACTCAACATGTTTCAACAAGTCGTTAATATATTAGCTAATAAATTATCTACATTTAAACGAGAACTTAAATGTAGATAAATTCTTTATTTGTAATTGATACCTAGAAAATCAAGAGTTTAAGATTTTCGCAATGCAAACACCTTTTTCAAATTCGTGTCTAATCTTCAATTTTTTTTTCTTTTTTTCTTTTTCTTTTTTTGGTACTATCTATTCTTCAATTTAGATTTTGGCCAAAAATGTTTCAAAGAAAAGAAAAACGTTAGAAGTTGCTCATCAAAATAAAACAGATTTCCCATCTAGCTTTTAACGTTAGCCTTCATTTAATAAATAACTATGTCTTCTTTGCTGGACAAGGAAATTAAATGGAAGTTTTCTTCATCTTTTTTTTATTAAATTGAAGAAATTTTTCTTATTTTAAAACTTATCAATTATCATGATTATACAATCTTTTTGAAAAGAAATCTGAGTAATTTTTGTTTTCTCCTCACAAATTTTTAGGTCTATAGTTATTTTCGCGCTAACCGTATTGCCCTTAATTATTGAATGATTCTTCTGGTTTTCTTGTTTTAGAAACAAGATTTCAAGAAACGGATTTTAGTGGCTGAATGTTACCACGAGTTATGAAAGAGTTGTGTTTGAATTTAAAAGTGAAATTAAATGTAATTTTTTTGTGAAAATTAAATTGAATTAATTTTTCAATGAAATGTGACAGGTTGCCGAGTTGACACGATTTAGAACTAGTTCAGCCATCTAAAAGTCGGTTTTCAAATCATCAGCCCGTAAAATTTGTTTATAGATTAACCATAAGACCAATTCTTGATTCAACCTATTAGTTGTGAAAACGAGTCAACCCGACTTAACCCATATGCAACTCGAAAAAATTAAGCTGAGTTAGGATTGACTCGGAAAAAAAAAAAAGAGCCAAAAAATTCAACTCAACCTGGCCCGAGTCGAGTTAGGGTGGGCTCGCGAATTGGCTCAAAAATATGGCTCGTGGGTTGGCTTGAAAAAATAGCTCGCAAGTTGGATCGAAAATTGGCTTGCGGGTTGGCTCGTTTTCAACCTATTTAAATGAACCTGTAGTATTAATGTAACAGCTATGTGACTTCCATCAGCTTAAACAAAGGATTACAAAATGAGAAATAAAAACAAAATATTCTAGTTTTGAATTTTTTTCACAACAAATTTACACTAACATCAAGAAACAATCAGAACCACTTGTTACCAAGTGGGTAAGATATTTGAACCAAACAGAGCCAGCACTGTCTAACAATATAAAAATGGCAGGGATGTAAGAAGATTAGGGACTTAGGTTTAGAAAAGAAAAAAAGAAGATGACAACATGTGTGGATTTTGTCCATTTTTGTACATTATATTTTGTACTTTTTTATAAAAAAAAAAAAAAAAAACTCAACGGTGAATTACTTTGTGCATGAGAAGCAGATCTTTCGAGGCATTTCCTGAAAGATCTGTTTGACGTTGAGGATGCCTATAATCAATCTACACACAAGGTCGGTGACACCATGCGAGTGGACTTAATCAATCATAAATGTCAGTGTGGTAGGTTCACGACACGCCTTGTTCATTTGCCTCAAGTTTATGATACCCAGTCCCCCATCACCTTTAGGTTTACAAATCAGTAAATTGACAAACACATAACCCTAAACAATTAAATGTGAGTAAAAGGTCTCAAATGGAAAAACTAACCCTAGAAATGGATTCATAACGAAAAATTGAGTGGTTAGGCAAGTTTCTAGAAATTTGATGAATAATATTTTTACCAGGTAAAAATACAGCGGTACAATTGCACCGAAAAGCGTGCCGAATGAAAATTGAGCTCTAGGCTTGGAATAAGTTGAAAAAGGTATATAGGGAGCTGACCCGTTTGACCCGCGAGTTGGCTCGTCTTTTTCCCAGTTAGCTCGGGTCGGGTTGGAAGCTCATTTTACCAACCCAACCCGACTCATTTTTTACGGGTTGACTCGTTTTTGCCAACCCTAGTTTCAACTATGGTAGTTGTACTTTTGGTGGTACATAGATGTGTCCCATGAAAGGTGAAGTATATTAATATAGGAGTGTTCATAGCGACAATGGTAGAGACCAAAGCATTCTAGGGGCTTCCCATTACGTGCATAAAAGGGGTTGTGTGTATGGCAAGGGACAAGACTAAGTTAGTACCAAAAGATTCAACTAGTAAAATTCAGCTAGTACCAATGTTGTATTATTTTTAAAAACTTAACCAATGTCAAGGCTATATTATAAATTTTAAAGAAAATATATAGCATTTTTGAAAATCAGCTGGTGCCAAGTCATTAGCTAAACACCAAGTGGCTCCACCCACTATGGCAAAGATGGCTTTGCAGAGGGGCAGAGTAACAACATGGGTAAAGAGTAGAAGAGAGGATCTCCCCTCCTGGTATGAGGGGGGGTATTTAGAAAGAAGAGCCCTCTCCAGCATGGGGGAGCCAACTGATTAGTCCCATGAACTGTCTCATCAAGCCATGTCTTGTCCCGATCCAAGGCATGCTGCCCACTGTCAGTGTACAGGGCAGCAGTGCAGGGAAAGAAAAATGTCCCAGTGATTAGCTTCTATGGCTTGCCAAGTGGTGAGTCTAAGGTAAGTATCCAGAACAGTACTCAGAATAATACTTTCAAGAGATTTTTTTAAAATTACAAAAACAAATTTGTTTTAAAAAAAAATAGAAATTAATGGACAACGAATTTAATTTGTGTTTCCAATTTCCACTATAGACTAACTCACTAATCTTGAATCAGCTGAGGCCTGAGGGGGTGGGTATAATTTTGCCATTTACAAGTTACGCGCATGTGCTTGAGAAGAACCTATAAACATGGAAAAAAAGGTTTAAGTGGTAAGATACTACAGCACAACAATGGATACCCATGAAAAAGAATGGATTTGGAATCAATTCTTGTTTCCCTCTTCAGTCCCGTGTAATAATAAGATGATCACCATCTCTTATAAGCCTTATATCATCAACTTCAGCTCCTTCTTTGGTCAAAATTTTGGTGGGAGAGAAATCAAACTTTTTGGCACCAATATCTAGTAGTTCTTCGAGGGACTTAGGCAGCAAAACAAGCTTTGTAGCATGTTCACCTTTTTCAGGACAACTAAGTGTCACTCTTGCTATTGATCCACTCACGTTCCCTGTACTAGTGTTATTGCTTTGAGATGCCCTGCGATCCTTTTTATCTGCATGATTAAAATGGAAAACAAAATTTATAACTCTAATAACCAGAGATAAAAAAAAAAATGAACTTGTATTTTCTAACATGCTTCTTTTCATGTACCAACTACCAAGTCGTTCAATTTAAAATCAATATCATTATGTTCCAAGATAAAAGCATAAACTTACCACGATTGGCAGCTGAGATCATTCCAAAAATGGAGTTATGAAAAGTGTTGGCCCTTCTCCTTCGATGATTATCTAGCCAAGTTAAATCTTGTTGAGGTGGCAGTGGCATGCTTTCTTGGGAAAGAGCACGCATAGTGGGTTCACTTTGAAACCTCCCAATGCATGACACACACTCATTCTTTGATGTTGGAAAAACAGGTGGTCTTCTACTCTCTCCAATGTTCTGGAATATATTTTTAATTTCTTCATGGCCTTGATGTTCTGCCAAAGCCCTTGGAGTCCAGCCATTAGCATCTTGCTTATCAATCTCTGCTCCTTGGTCTAGAAAGAACTTCACCAGCTCAGTATTTCCTTCACATACTGCAGCATGCAGAGCAGTGGAACCATTCCTTTTGGATTGTGTCACGTCCAAACCATATTGAACAATTTCCTTGAGCAGTTCCATGTTATTTTGCTCAACAGCAGTGCATGCTAGATGGCCTGCATCGGCAGAAGATATTTCTGCACCATTGTCTATGAGAAGTTTCATGGCAGATTCATGCTTACCCAGCATTGCTTCCCATAGTGGAACGCTTCCATCCAAATCTGTATAAATAAAAGCAGTTAGAGATATCACCAGTACTAAGTACTAACACAAATTCCTGTATGAAAAAAGTTACCAGTAGTAGTAACTTTGAGGGAGTGCTTGATATAATTGAATAATTAGGTGCCAAAATTTTTAATAATGAAAAATTAAGCGCGGAATTCATATTTTTTTTTAAAAATCATTTAAACTATTAAATGTGTAATAAAAGAAGCTTTTTAGCATTTAATAAAGGGAAAAATGTTGGAAATCGACAATCACACAGAATCGAGAAAACAGAAAAAGAGATAAGAGTAGAGAGATTGACACGATGATTTACCCTGGTTCACCCAATATAGGCTACGTCCAGCTTGTCTGTACTATATTCACCTCACCGCCACTCGTTACAAGTGTCTCGGTTTACAAGGCAAATATAAATAGGATTACAAGAAACCCTAACAGCAGCTATTCATGGGCCCAAGCCCAAACTGCTAAGAAAATTACAATAGAAACAGAGCGGGACCCCAGTTGCCTTTCTGCTGACCCCGACAATTAGGGCCAACATCATCATGTGAAGTATGAGCCATACCCAACAAAAAATGTTTCTCCTTTTAAATGACACAGCTTGTATCATTTCACTTTCACAAAGAGGTGAGATCCACATCTTTATTTTTTTGTCCATTCTATTTCCCTCGTGATCTATCTTTTTCTCTCATTTAAAATGACACAACTTTACATCCTTTAAAATGATAGATACTTTTCCCTTTAATAAAATAGATGAGAGTATGTTATGGAAACTATTATTATTTAACAATTTAAATAAAGAAAGATTTGTTGCTAAATGCATTCAATGACCTCTCATATGTGTACTGTTTTCAGCACTTTTTTTTCACTTCTTTTCATTTTTAATGTTGGTGTCAAACTGCTTTCAGTCATTTGTAGTACTGAAACTTTTCATTTTCCAAACAGGCCTGAAGAGTACCTTTGCTATTGGGATCAGCACCATATTCTAGAAGCAAAGTTACACAGTGCTCATTGCCTTTAGAAGCTGCAATATGCTGTTACATGAGAAAATCAAGTTGTAAGCGTCTAGTATTTTGTCTATACATATATTCTTATGCATTAATTAGTATGTGTTCGTTCGTGGAAAGATAATCTACTAACCAGTGCTGTCCTTCCGTTCTTATCTACTTCATTTGGATCTGAACCCTTCTTCAGCAACCGATTTAACAATAGATCATCATTTCTGTTTGCTGCAAAGCATGTGCTGATGGGCAAATCCATTCTACCCCGAGCCAGCATGGCCTCTGTTTCTTTCAAAATAACATCCATCCCTGGCGCCTTTGATTCTTGCAAATGCTGCAACAAAGTATAGCACATATCACAATGTAAGACATTAGACACAACTCTTCTATGGGGAAAATGTGCAGTGTGTTTGATCCTAAAACAATGTATTTTGTGATATAAAAAAAAAATGTATTTTTACATTCTAAAATAAATTAATTTTAATGACCGTTATACAATTTCAGTTCCAAAAGAAATAACTCGAGATTGAATTTTAGTGCTAAAATCTTCGGTAAGAGGATCATCTAAAATCATTTTGAGGAGCAAACAACAGTATGCCCAATGAGATGGGAGGTGAGAATCCCAGTCCAGAGCTGAGGAAAATGTTCTATTGAACACTAAAAGTTCTCATAGAACTACATGCCAATTGCCAACAAATCTTAATCTTGCAAAATACTCCGTCTGATCTTATTTTCAAGGAAATACATTATCCAATGTTCTCTTGTCATTAACACATTTGGCAATGAAGTTGAGATCTAGTATCTCATATCTTCATATTTTTTTGGATACCACAACTATCCTCGACGGGAGGTAATTCTATTTGGGGCGGATCTAGGATTAAGGCTTTAAACTCCTTCCAAAAATAGTACTGGAGAGGATCGAACACATGTTCTCACCCCCACCTGTTCAGTTCACATATACCAACTGAGCTACCATCATTTGTTCGGTCTTCATTAAAAGTAAGAAAAGCATTCAAATAATGGGTCTAAAAGAGGGTAGTGTGAGAAGGGTGTAAAATGAGAGAAACTTAAGAGCTTGTTCTGTAGTCTAAGCTATTGAACCCAAAAGTCGAATTAATTTTAAGAAAAGATAATGACATCTAAAAATAAGAGTAACAAAAAAATGTTCTACTTCTGTGGACAATGGATTATGTGAAAGAAACTAAAACGTATCTTGCTATTAGAAGCATTCCTAGCAGAAAACACAAAACACAAATGTAGAAATACTTTATATACCTGGAGAAAGTTGTTCATGACTATTGTCCCATCTCCAACATTTGAATGAGCAAGATTTATAAATGTAGTACGGTTCAAGCGCAGAATTTGGCTCAATCGTTTGGTTCGAACTGTAAAAATCTGTGGTCTGTAACATAGAACTCCTATTTCTCCAACTACATCTCCTGACTGTGCCTCACCAACGACCTGCAATTATTGCAGACTACATCAATACCTTTGCAGACCACATTTTTTCATGTTGTTTGTTGCATGGCAGTGATGATTCGCAAAGGTGTTAATGTAAATAAACTTGCCTGTTCTATTCCATTCTTTCGTATGATAAGTTCCTGTCAGGCAGAAGAAAATGAAATTTCAGTTTGTAAATTTTTTTTTTTTTTCCCTATAGAATGGAGAAAGGACATTTGAGAAGTAAACATCCCAAAAACAGTAAAAGGAAAATTAATCTCAATAAAATAAAAATCTCTTAGTTACATTTTTTGATTTTGATATCCTTAATTTCATTTGCAACATGTCATTCCTCCTATTTTACAGCACATCAATTTGGTTCAGTCTCGAACAATGTTAGATTTGTTTAATGAATTAGCATAAACTAGATGCTGACATAGTTATCCACTATTGCTGATGTGGAAACTAACGTATGGAGCTGTTTCTAAATGGTGGGGAATTGTTTGCTGACGCACATATGTGATTGGAAATTGGAATTTGAGGTTATTGAAGCCTACATCGGAACAATGACCAAAATGTCACTATTCATCAACTTTTTTATCTAAATGCCACGCGAACAATGTTATTTCCCAATCTGCCACGGGGGCAAGTTCGATACCCGGTGTAGCGAACTCGGTTTGCTGACGTGTCACGTTTCTAGTGGACACCAACTTGATTTTAACCAAGTTTGCCTACATGGAAGGCGACCTTCATTTCTTTTTATTATTATTTTTTTAAAATTTGATACTTGTTATCCATTAAAAATGTGACACGTCAGCAAACCGAGTTCGCTACACAGGGTAGCGAACTTGCCCCCGTGGCATATTGGGAAATAACACTATTCGTGTGGCATTTAAATAAAAAAGTTGGTGAACAGTGACATTTTGGTCAGTGTTCCAGCCTACATCAGTGTGATGGAAACTGATTTACTGGTTGAACAAATTGATACTGTTCCGGCCAGCCCAAATGGCTGGCCTAAGCACAAGCCCAATAATTCAGCCCACACTCAAAGCCCCACACGTCACCTCTCTCTTTGAGAAAGTAGGTGACTTTTCTCCCTAATCACAGGAACATACGGCCATGGTACACTAGATAATGGCCTTAACGCCTTATGAAGCATGACAAATACAGGAGATGGCCAATCAAACCATCCCTTCCAGACTCACCCTTCCGCATCACATTAAATGCCAAACCCCATCTATAAATACACTTTTCATTACAGAGGAGGGTACTGTTCTAATATATTCATGAGTTGTTACTCTGTTCAATTGGAGAATCACCTTGAACATTAAACACTCCCCCCCCCCCCCCTCTTATTGATTATCGTTTCATAACGTTAAGAAAGCTTCTCAAGGACCTTGGTTTATACTATTGATATAAGAGCCACTCTATATTAAGATACACCCAGTTCTTCTTATCACCTACAATTTTAAAAAGGGAGCCCATATTGTTGACTATCTTATACACATTTTATCATAAGTATAATTAAGTCTATTATAATCTACAAATCAGCTTTAGCTGGAGATAAATTTTTTTGAATGTGTATGTGTTACTACCCATACTATAGGACTCAGGCTTTGTTAGTTAGGTGGTTAGGTTGTTAGGAGGCTAAACAGAAAGAAAGAACGAAACAAGAATTGCGAGAAAACACTTTTCTTAATTTTATTTAACCAAAAAACAACCTCCTAACAATAGGTTCTCCAAGCCTTAAATAGACAAAATAAAAATAATAAAAAAGTAAAGAACTATAATCATGCGCAATCAACGGAGATAACACGCAATCAACGGAGATAACACACAATCAATGCACACTCAAACGTAATCTAAAAATAACAACAAGGGAAATAATTAACAATTATTGAAAAGCCCTAAACTATGGAATAAATTATAAAAAAGTCCAATACAAGTCAGTCAGCTCGGTGAATCATTCTCTCCCACTTGGAAAAGATTCGCCCTCGAATCTGTTTCGTCTTCATTGATATGAACTTCTTCAGGTGGTAACCCAGGTGACAACTCTTCTGGTACAATATCACCAAATTTTCTAATTAAGATTAGGACTTGTGAATGAAATTTTTTGATATGCTTGGTACATTCATCTGCATTCGTATTAAACTGCTCGGGAACTATAAATATTATGAGTTATAAGGGAGTAAATGGACAAAACCCATAAATTATTCCAAAAGGACTATTGCCTGCAGTTTGGATCAATGATCACATCTGTGATCCGTCATAGGAAAATTTCGTCTGATGTAACAGCATTTCCCATTGCCCCTGACGATTTCCAATTAAAATTTTACCAAAAGTTAAATCTTTAACTCCATGGAGCATGAGGCTGTCATGCCCGTTGTCCCTAGATTCATAATACTGCTTGCAAACTGAAGACTTCTTAAATGAAGGATCATCCTGTATGATATCTTTGGGTAGAACTTCATCTTTGTCAGAGATATTAGAATTTATAATAACTGACTTTCCACCGAAATCACACTACAAGAGATTTCTTCCACCTCTGGATCTCTGGATTCTCATCGTCTTGCTCTCATCATACTTATCATAGATAGGGAACTCGTCATAAACTGAAGCATCCATAACAGGATTCTCATCATCTTGCTCTTCATCAGATTCATCATAGATCAGGACCTTCTGGTCTTCTGACAAGTCTATGATGTCAAAGACCCTTTCAATGGTGTGTGACCTGTCGATAAACTCATCTGTATGAGTGGTGCCCTCGAATTCCGGATCTCAATCTTCACACCAATATTAGCAAAAAAGGATTGATTTCGAGGTTGACTTTGCCCTCGAATGGGTTTTCGCTCCTTTCCTCCTCATGAGATGATCTTTCAGATTCCCTTTCTTCATCTGACTCGTCCAACTGTATTTGGGCAAATAGTTGTTCGAGCTTCTGAATTCGCCTACCATGTTCTGCCATTGTAGCAGCCATTGCTACAATTATGGTGTATCGCACGTCGATGTGTGGTTGTTCGTCGTCGCCGTTAAAGGTGTTACCATGCCCTCTGCCGTCGTCGTCCACGACCTCGACCTCAACTGCCATTGTTCTGTTCAGCCATTTATGTGACAACCAGAGCTCTTATTACCAAATAATGTCGAAGCAGTAACCTATTGGCTAAACAAAAATAAGAACGAATACAAGGATTACGAGAAAATACTATTCTCTTTTCTTAATTTTATTTAATAAAAAACAACCAAATAATAATAGGATTCTCCAAGCCTTAAATAGGCAAACTAAAATAACAAAACAGTAAATAACTATAATCATGCGCAATCAAAAGAGATAACGCACAATCAACGCACGCTCAAACATAATCTAAAAATAACAAAAAGGGAAATAATTAACAATTATTGAAAAGCCCTAAACTATGGAATAAATCATAGAAAAGTCAAATCCAAGTCAGTCAGCTCGGGTGCATCATCATCTCTCGCTAGGAAAAGATTCGCCCTCGAATCTACTTCGTCTTCATTGATATCAACTTCTTTAGGTGGTAACCCAAGTGGCAACTCTTCTGGTATAATATCACCAAATTCCATAATTAAGATTAGGACTTGTGAATGGAATTCTTTCTTGATACGCTCGTCTGCATTCGTATTAAACTGTTGGGAACTAGAAATATTGCGAGTTCTTCTAAGGGAGTAAGTGGACAAAACCCATAAACTATTCCAAAAGGACTATTGCCCACAGTTTGGTTCAATGATCGCATCTGTGATCCGTCATTGGAAAATTTGTCTGATGTACCAACAAGTCCCATTGCCCTTGACGATCTCCAATTAAACTTTTAACAAAAGCTAAATCTTTCTCTCCCTGGAGCATGAGGTTATTATGCTCGTTGTCCCCAAATTCATAATACTGCTTGCAAACTAAAGACTTCCTAACTGAAGGATCATTCCGCATGATATCTTTGGGTAGAACTTCATCTTTGTCAGAGATATTAGAATTTCTAATAACTGACTTTCCACCGAAATCACTATAAGAGATTTCTTCCACCTCTGGATTCTCATTGTTTTGCTCTCAATCATACTTATCATAGATAGGAAACTCGTCATAAACTGGAGCATCCATAATACGATTCTCATCATCTTGCTCTTCATCAGATTCATCATAGATTGGGACCTTCTGGTCTTCTGTCAAGTCTCTGATGTCAAAGACTCTTTCGACGGTGTGTAACCCGTCGATAAACTCATCTGGATGAGTGGTGCCCTCGAATTCCGGATCTCAATCATCACCCCAATATTAGCAAAAAAAGATTGATTTCTAGGTTGACTTCGTCCTCGTCGCTCCTAGTTCCAGTTCCAGAATCTCCTTTCCTCTTCATGAGATGATCTTTCAGATTCTCATCCTTCATCTGACTCGTCCAACTGTGTTTGGGCAAACAGTTGTTCGAGTTCCTGAATTCGCCTACCATGTTCTGCCATTGTAGCAGCCATTGCTACAATTATGGTGTTTCGCACGTCGAAGTGTGGTTGTTTGTAGCCGCCGTTAAGGGTGTTACGACACCTTCTACCGCCGCCGTCGCCTCGACCCCGTCGTCCACGACCTCGAGCTCGACCGCCATTGTTCTGTTCAGCCATTTACAAATTCTGGGATCTCAATATTTCTACCGCCGCCGTCGCCTCGACCTCGACCGCCATTGTTCTGTTCAGCCATTTATGTGACAACCAGAGCTCTGATACCAAATAATGCCGAACCAGTAACCAATTGGCTAAACAGAAAGAAAGAACGAAATAAGAATTGCGAGAAAACACTTTTCTCTTTTCTTAATTTTACTTAACCAAAAAACAACCTCCTAATAATAGGGTTCTCCAAACCTTAAATAGGCAAAATAAAAATAACAAAAAAATAAAGAACTATAATCATGCACAATCAATGGAGATAACGCACAATCAACACACACTCAAACGTAATCTAAGAATAACAAAAAGGGAAATAATTAACAATTATTGAAAAGCCCTAAATTATGGAATAAATTATAGAAAAGTCCAATCCAAGTGTGCATCAGTTAGTCTATCGTCTATATAATATGGGTCGTAACAGACTAGCAGTGTGTGTTCAGAAAGACTCCAGCTTTCTCATTAATTTCTGCGCTTTATTTCTTTGAGTAAAAGCTTTTGGCCCATACACCTCTTAGGGTGTTTCTTCACCCCAATTTCTACGTACCACTCAGAGTGTAAATGAAGTGAATGAAAATAAAGAGGGGATATAGTTTCTTACTGCAGCACCAGTGACAAAGATATAAAAGTCGGTTGGCGCTTCATTCTGCAAAACCACATCTTCCTTTGGAGGAAAATACTCAGCCTTCATCTCCGTGACCTTCAAATTTCAACAGTGCAAGATATGAGCATATAACAATCTGTTCAGTGTTCATCATCTAATAGACAAGGACAAACAAGAAGCACAGATACAACATAATTATTCTTGGAGCTAATATCAGTTAGATGAGTATATTTTGGATTAAATGCAAGATATTGATTTGTTAATAAATGTGTGAAGAGAGAATCTTATTTTTCTTTCTTTTCTCTAGGATCTCTCTAGTGAATTCTTGATTAACCAGCTGATGTTTGCATATCATAGATCACAGTCTTCTCATTCAAAATATCAGGTTTTGTCTTAACCAAAACAGAGGATTAAAAGCAGTTATACAAAATCCTCAGCAACATCACTGAAAAGCTTCACTGTTTTGTTTTTTTCACCACTGTCAGAGAGTTATAGAAAGCCAAAAAGAAAATATTACCAATTGAAAAAGAAGGTCATTTGACACTCCATGAAACAAGTATACTTTGTCCACAAGTGAATAGAATAGGTAGTGTGAGATGCTAGATCGAATAGCTTTTGGAAGGGATTCAATGATCTCTTGTTGCTGCAGTCCTTCTAAATCAGTTCTGTACTTCATAAACAAATGAGCAAGCATCTGTTCTTGCAAGCGGATAGGTAATTGATTCCGTTGGGCAAAACCTGTGGCAGATTGTACCGTGTCTCTCTGATATATGCCACAAAGCAGCCAAGAAAAAAGAAATCAAAATATTAATGAACCCCTTGGAAAGAAATGAAAGATCCGATATAGTATTTTAGAACCACAAGAATTATGTGAATTGTGGGTAATTCTATGAAGTGTACAATTTTCCCAGACTCAGAATGCTAATTAGGAGCTTCTGCATTGATATAATAAGAGCATAAAAATTTCAGTTGTGGAGAGCATGGATACATGTATGAGAGCGACTTCTGTCAGAAACTGAAGCAAGGTTATCCTTTCAGAAAAAGGACAAATGGACTTGAGAGACCATTCAGATCAAGTACTATTAAAACTTTAAAGAGGGAGAAAAAATGAAAATTGAGTTGCCAAAAAGGATTCCAAAAACCATTCAGGACAAGTGAGAAAACTCTGAAACTCTGAAGGTTTAAATGATTGTACTCACATATTTCCTAGTTCTGCTTGTCCCATGAACAACTAAGTTTGTCATGTTTCCAATGAGATAAGAGGTTAGTCCCAGATTAAAGAGCATATAGAATGTGTCAAAAATCATCTCCCTTGTATTTACAGGATGCAGATCACCATAACCAACTGTTGAAAGAGTCACTATGGACCAGTATACCGATGTTACATAGCGACCCGCGATATCTTCCTTAACACCATCAGCAATAAGCCCAAGCCATGAAGCTTTCTGGTTATGACTTTCAGCGAGAAAATAGTAAAAGCAGGCAGCAAAATGCACTGAAAATAGAGTAACCTACAAATGCAAGGCATCACAAGAAGGCTTATATAAGTTAGGTTGTTAAACCCTTAATAATAAATAACAGCTCATACAAGAAATTAAGGATGCAATTAAATAATAAATCAAGTACTCACACATATAAGCTTTGAACAGCGCACCCAGAAGTAGTTAAAATTTCTGTCTTTTTCTAATCTGACACAATGAATAGCCTAATCAGTTCCTATACAAGATCAAATTAAGCAAAAATGTGCTGCCCCCAAAGTCAAGCCTATCATGAGTTTAATTAATTAATAAGTTGTCATAAACAATGATGACAATTTTAAACTTTGATGTAAATATGAATTGTCCTTAAATTTTAAGTAATGTTATATCCCAAAGTAATACAATTGAAGAGGAGAATAACCTTGCAAACATGGCACTGACTCTGCGGAGACGCCAAAGGCGAAGCATATTGAAGTAACCGTAAGTCTTAAGAGGACGGGGCAAAATTTTGCGGGCAAGTTCAGAAGGGATGGTAGAGATGACATCAAAGGCAAGCCATGTTTTTGCATATCTAAAAGCAATGAGCTTTGGTTCGTCCACAAGAAGATAAGAAGCCTTGTCGAGGTAGGCAACAAAGAATGTAAGAACAATGTCAATGGCAAAAAAAGCATTCACAACATTGTCAGTAATGGAAAGAGCAACCGTTGGTTCATTAAGAAACCCGAATTCAAACGGGCACACCCATGCAGTGTAGAATACTAAAAACACCAGAAACGTATCCCACAGTCTGCATCACCATCATGAAACATTAAATCAAACATCATAATTACACGTGAAATTAATAATATAAGTTATTATCAATTAATGGACAAAGATTAATAATAATGTGTAGATATATGTATGTATATATACCTATAACGAGAGTAATAAGGGGAGATAATGAAAGTTCGGAGATGGGCTCTCCGGCAGCTGGTGGCGGCGGTGGCACCGAGAGAAGGAAGAGGAATGCCGGTGAGGCTGTATTGGCTGCCATCGTCCCTTGACATCTGATCTATATCTATGTGATCTCTATCTTTGTCGTCATATGTTTCCTCATGATTATGGCTGCCAAACAACGTTGCAAACATCTTCTTTGCTCGCTTCGGCATTTTTTTTTTGTTTTGTTTTGTTTTTTGTGTGTGAAACTGTGATTGCTTTTTTGATCTCTATATTTGTCTTTTTAATTTGATGTTTGTGTTTTTGTGGGTATAGGGAATGCCCGATGGGTACAGATAATAACATGTTTCGTTCTCTGTGGCAATATCAACAGATCTAAATTGTTGGATTTTGTTACTATATATGGTTGAATTTTGAATGTTGAATGATACATAATTTCAAAAAAAAAAAAAAAATTATACATGCAACATATTTTTATTTATATCCTTTTATAATTATTATTTTTACAATTTATTAATTAATTATTAATTCGTAATAAATAATAATCATTGAACTGTAAAAATCAACAGTTAAGATATGATTGTAAGATGCTGAAAATAGAAATAAGTTGTAAGTATAACTTTCGTCATCTATCTATATAAATATAAGTATTAATGATTCTCAATCTCTTATATAAATGGGTTAAATATTTTTACAGTCATTTCAAATAAAGTTATCTACAATTACTCTTCTTAACTAAGTCTGACCAGTAAGACATAAAAATTATATTTGTTCTCTCTGTCATGTCAGTCAACAATATATGAGGAGAGAAAAAAAAGAACAGTTTTATTGTTAATTGTTATAACCATATTTTACTAATCAGACACCTAGTTATAAAAGATAGCTGTAAATAATATTATCTAAAATAGTTGTAAAAATACTTATAAAAATAAAATTAACTTTTATTTGAGGCTTGTATTTGTCATTTAACATGACACAACAAAGTTTACTACACACACAATACTTTGTGAGATCCACACTTTTTGAGGGAAAAAAAAAACTACTACACGCAAAACAAATCTCGATAACATTACATAATCATTTTTACTGCAATTTCTTATAAAACCCATAAAATTATCTCCTCACGACATTAAACCCATAAATATAACTGCCTTCAACCCATATCATAATTATTTCGTGATCTCTGGCGTGCCTTTCGTGATGGCGGCGCTTTACGAAACTTTTTTTCTTTACGTTATCTTTGGAATCATTATAAAAGAAAAAAAAATTGTACTTTGATGGGATATCTTCTAAAATAAAAAATGAATTAAAAATAATTTTGAAAATATAATAAAAAATAATGAAGGAAATATGGCAGATGAAAAAATATCATTTAGTAAATAAATAAATAAATAATGTGATGCAGGTATTCTTCCAGATTCCAGATTCGTATGCGTTTAACATTTTTGATAATATTTTTTAAAATTAGACGCTTTTCATGGTTAGAATATTTTTTTGTGTTTTATTAAAAAAAAAATTAATCCAAATTCCTGACGAGAATATGAGAGGAGAATTTATGATGAAAAAAATTATAATAATGTCGTAGTCCTACATGGAATCAATCAGGTGTCAGAGATAAAATTAAATCTAATAAAGCGTTTGTTTTCTAATATAATAATGAAAAAAAAATACTTTTTCCTTTTTTGACTAAAAAAATTGCATTAAGAGATAGGGCATATTTACATGTGACTGAAGACTGAAGACTGAAGCATGTTGTAGCCAAAAAGACTGAAGCATGTGTTGGCATGAGAAGGTTAGAGCATATTTACATGTGAAAGGAAATAATGACTTAAGTATGTGTCGAGCATCAGGGTTTAATTAAATTTTAAAAAGTATTTCTTTTCATTCAAATTTAATCTCTACTAACTTTATTAACCAGGAAAAATTTAAAAATTCTTTGAAATTTTAAAAAATTAATTTTCGAAAGAACTAAATTAAGTTCGAGAGTTAAAAACAGAACCCCGCATTATTCATCCTTCTTAAGGTGATTATTTTCAAATTAGTGACACGAATTGTAATAATTTAAATATATTAAATTATCCCATAAAATATACTATAATAAGAACATATAAATAAATAATCAAAATTGAGTAAAAACAGTAAATACATAACTAAAAGTTAATTGAGAATAGATCGATCAAACATGGAATAAATATTTACTAGCCATGAAGTAATAAAATATTTATAAATTTAACAAAATAGATAAACATCAATCTGTTGGGAAATTCGTTCCCTCAAACTCCAATGTCAAGCGGGTCCAGGGGAAGCCCGTGGCAGGGAACCACCACCAATGAGCTAAGGTTACATCAACCGTAGCAAGTGGATCCGACACTATGTCTCAACCCAAAACCTTAAGGCATTGGGTTCATAGGTCCAACCGTACCAATGTGGGACTTATCACACTTGAATATCTCAACAATCTCCCCCTCAAGTGTGAAACCCACCATTGGTATGCTCCCCCTCAACCGAGTACCCGAAGCGCAAAGTACTCGACCCGCCTCCTAGCCAATCACTAGGCTAGCTCGAGCCCAATATGGCTCTGATACCACTGTTGGAAAATTCGTTCCCTCAAACTCCAATGTCAGGTGGGTCCAGGGGAAGCCCGTGGCGGGGAACCACCACCAATGAGCTAAGGCTACACCAACCGTAGCAAGTAGATCTGACACCATGTCTCAACCCAAAATCTTAAGGCATTGAGTTCATGGGTCCAACCGTACCAATGTGGGACTTATCACACTTGAATATTTCAACACAATCAATTAATATTAAAATGTATAAACAGTCAATCAATAACAATATAAGTAAATATTAAAACATGTGTTAATATGTTTATCAAAAAAAAAAAAACATGTTGAATATATAAAAAAATTCTTAAAATATTGAATAGATAAAAATACATTAAAATTTTATTAAAATACTTTAAAATATTAATTGATAAAAACAAATATAATAGATAACAATATATTAAAATATTAAAACATTAATATTAAATAGATAAAAAAAGTATTGAAATATTAAAAAAAGTTAATCAATAACAACTAATATTGAAGTAATGAAGTTAAGTCGTTACATTTAAAATATTTTAATATATTCAGCTAAAAAATTATAAATTATTTTATTTTTTTCATTATGAAAAGCGCATCTTTATTTTTCACCTTTGGCGAAGGTATCTTCACACGAAATTTGGCTCTTCTAAAATGATGGGTGCACTTTGAAGAGTAACGTTGAGTTATAATTATCATTTAAAAATTAGTGTAACAACTTAATTTGTATATATAATTTATCACAAACTTAACTTGTAATTTTTTAATTAATGATTTTTGTACTTCTTTTAAAGTGTATTCTCTCTATAAAGGAGCCAAATGTAATGTCTATTGTATAAATGACCCCAAATTATTATTTTTTTAAATTAAAACTTATGCATGTCATATTTATTTTATTTAAATATTTGTGTAAATGCTTCAGTTGTGAAAGATAAACAACTTATTTTTTTATGTAGCATTTAACAGTATTAAAGAATTTTACTCATATTTAATGATATATTATATGCCATTTAATAAATTTGATAATTCGTGTAGTTATTAATACAAGTGAATCCATCAAATAATATATCAGCACAATTAATAAATAGTAATATAAAAGTTTTATAATAACAACAATCTCATTTTATTAACAATTAATGTACTTTATATTAGGTTACTTTTTTGTAAACTGAGATTAAATCACTCTCTAGTGGTTTTAATGATACAGCATCAATCACTCATCAGAGACTTGCCTATGGATTCCAAGCAACTGGAGCCCATGCAAAACTCACAGTTCAATTAAAAATTAGAAATAACTATATCTGTTATAAATCTAGGATCGTATTTCCCTAACAATAAAGCGCTAAAAAAACTAAGAACGGGAAGAAAGAACACGAGGAATTATTTACTTGGTTAAGGTATTAGTGAGTTTCCTGCACCCGGAACGTCGTCCTTCACCAAAGATCAAAACTCAGATGCTTGAGCCACCAATTCTCCCTTGACCGAAGCACCTTCTTTACCAACTAGCTCCAAACCGAAAAATAAACCCATCAAAATGACCATCTTGATGAGCTCTTCAAGGTTCTCCAAAAGATCGAAGCCAAAAACTCACTCTAACACCGTGATTTTTGACAAAGTACACTCACCCACACAACCCTAACTTAGAAGCTCTGATGCACAAACACACTTTTTTTTTTTTTTTTTTTAAATGTGTGTCGGTATCGATCAACATTTTTTATATGCAGTGAACTGATCATTTTTCGACATGCCATCAACATTTTTTGGACATGTTTTTTTTTAATAACTAGATTTTTTTTAATTAAATATGAAAAAATAATTTATAAATCAAATAATTTCTGTTATAAAATTTAACAAGACATGAAAAATTATTTTTTCTTTATATTTATGTTATGAAATTTAAATATTTGATTGATTATATGACTTATTATGAGCTGCTATATGTATAGATCGTAAACTATATTATATATATTAAAAATATTATTTAATATCAAAACTTGTCCTAACATGGAGAAATTAAATATTTTTCAGAATTAACGTGTTGGCGTGTCGTGTCCCGTCTTATCTCAACATTAAAGAGATCTGCGGATAAGAATATTTGGCCATCTGTAATAGAAATGTCTTGTATGAATGTCGGTACAACATAGCTTAGAAGGTTCAAGAGAGAATTCAAAAAAGAGTACTTTTCAGCTAGTGAAACAATAATGTCACGTAACACCAATGAAGGAGAGACTAAAGCCATATATGATGTGATGTATAAGACCTGATAATATAAGCTTATACTACATGTTATGACATCTTCAGTTGTTTGGTGTGACTATCGTATAGTACAAGCTTATCAGACCTAAAGATGGAATTAGACCTGACAAGGGGGTGATGTATTGGATTAATCTCATCTTCCCCACCCTTCTGCCCTTTTTTCCTCATTTTCTCTATTTCTTCCCCACCGCCCTCCCTTTGCTCCGCGATTGCATCGTCGGAGGCGTGAGTTTCTTGGGCTGAGAAGACGGTGGTTAGACGTAGTTAGCTACGGGCTTGCGAAAATTGGAGGATGATTTGCCATAGTTGAGATCTCGCTGAGCTTAAGCCATCTAGAGGAGCTCGTCCTTGTTGCTGTCAGACATTTGAACAATTTTTCTACTTCTCTCGTGTGACCGTGAACGTGAATAGGATTCGAAAATGAGAGAATGAGAATGATTTTTTCGATTTTAGATTCGAGTCTCTGTGTCTATTTTTTTGCAAAGGAGAAAACAAGACAACGAAAGGAAGAAAGTTCAAAGTAAAATCTTTCCATTTCAATGTATTTTGGTAGCTTCCCAAAAAAAAAAAGTTTTTTTAGAGGATGGTAGGCACATTTTATCTCTTAAAAAAATAGTATACATAACATTTTTTGATTATTATAATTTTTTTAATTTAAATTAATATTTATATAACATGATAATATTTGTATAAATTATGTTGTATATGTGTGTGTGGATTAATATTTTTCATGGGTCTATGAGAAAAAGATATAGGAAAACAAATGTGTTCGGAGGAAATAAAATTATTTATGATAAGATAACATTCAATTTTTTTTATTTCTAAAATTCTATACCTTATATAACAAATTAGTAATATTTTTTTCTACATACTTATATTTGGAAGAATTATATAAACTTTTTATTAAAGGATATTTTTATCAAAAATATTTACTTTTATCCTATGTGGTACATATAGTCATTATAAAATACTGGATAGTATTATCTTATACAATATATTCTCTTAGGGCCTGTTTGGTATCATGCATAAAGTCTGATAGTATAAGCTTATACTATACGTTATGACATTTTCAGTTGTTTGGTGAGACCATCATATAATATAAGTTTAAACAGCAGAATCCCTTAATACATCAAAATGATGTATAACTTAATCCGGCATAAGGGGGAAGGATTAGGCCCAATAAGGAATTAGTGTATTAACATCGTTGACCAATGCAATTTTCAAAAATTAATATATTATTTTAATATTAATATATTTAAATATTAATATATTTAAATGAAAAATAATTTTTCAATATATTAAATTTTAAAATATTTAATATTTTTTGGACACACTGATCAATAAATTTTTATAAAAATTAATATCATATGACATTTTTTGAAGAATTATATAGATTCTTTATTAAAAGATATTTTTATTAAAAATATTTATTTTTATCCTATATAGTATTATACAATGCATTACCAAATACTAGATGATATTATCTTATACAATATATTATTTTATACAATATCATGTCAAACACTGGATATTATTAAAATTCAATCAGGTCTTATAAAATCATGTCTTATACTATCAGGTGTTATACTATCATCCTTATCCTATACTATGCACCAAACATGCTCTTATACAATATCATGTCAAACACTTGATAATATTAAAATTTAATTAGATCTTATACAATCAGGCATTATACATCATTTTGATGTATTAAGAGATTCTGCTATATAAGCTTATACTATAAGATTGTTACATCAAATAACTGAAAATATGATAACATATAGTACAAGTTTATCCTATCAAACCTTCACGGTCCAAGACGCCAACGTTTTGGCTATGTTGCTTAATGCACTAGCCACGACAATCATACACCATATGCAATAAACAATGGTCCTCAACAAATTACACTCATCATTGGCCCAACAGATAATTACACACATATATATCATATATCAGCCCAACAATGGACATAAATCAGATAAGCCCAATTAGTTTAGGAAATAAAATCAACAATATCTTAATATTTTTTTTGTAATCACAATATCTTAATGTAATTAATCATTTGAGAGGTATAAGTTGTTTAAGTTGAATATATTTTTGTTCTTTTATGTGAATTCGTTTATGAAAAAATTCCCCTATATATTGTTATTTATCTTAATGTAATTTTGTGTTTTTTTTTTTTTTTTTTTTTTTTTTTTTGTAAATCTGGCTCAGAATCAGTATCTCGTTACCTTTGGGGGCGGCCTCGAGTCGCAAAATCATGTCTCAACAATTTTGGCAACTGAAGAGATGCGCAATATCGAAGGCGTCTAGCCGCAATGGCCTCCCATTCAGTCACATCTGCTATCACAAAGAAAGACAAAGGAAATCAATCACTTGCAATTTGTGAAAGCTCTAACTTTGACTGGAATTATATGTTCTGTAAAATGTATTTGTGGGGCTGTTGCTCTTGGAACCTCATTCGCTTATTTTTTACAAAGAGTGTCTTTTAAGTTATCAACGATTCAGAAATCCAAGGTGAGAAACAAAAGGAATTAAATCCAACACTCTCATTCACACACGTATAATATCTTGCTGCGATAATTGCCATGCGTCGCATCAGATGTATAGTAACAATAGTATTAATATATGGAAAAAAATTGTTTAAAAAAATATCACATTCACATCAAAGTAAATGGATCTCATAAATATTTTAAATATTTTCTCCCTTTTATTTTTATAATGTAATCCCTTCATTTTTATGTGATTGTGGCAAAAACAAAATCTACAACAAAAGCAAAAATATTAAACCCTTAATGAGATAGAATACTTTGACATTGGTGTCAAACTTTGAATTTGACATCAAATCTTAAATGTTGATTTCTGTCAATCAACGATTATCATTTATTAGGAATTAAATTTATTAATTTCCAATAAATTATAACTGTTATTCACGAAAATCAACGGTAAGGATTTGATATCAAATTATAAAATTTGACACCAGTGTCAAATGATCCTGCCTCACTCTTAATATATATGGTTGAAATTATAAGTGTATTTCTTGCATCACGAATGTAAAGAGAAAAGATAAAATCCCATGGAAAGAGCATTTTTAATACTCCTGTCGATTGAATATTACAAGGCCTTATAAAAGTTATATTAGTTGCGATGAGGATCGAATTTGTGACTTTATAGTCACTTATACCATGTAAAGAACCTTGGGATACACCACTCCAAAAGCTAGCTCAAAGGGTGAGAGTGTCCAAGCACATACAACCAATGTAGGACTATATATCTCAACAATTTTCACTAACATATATAAGAGGAAAAACTTGTAAATTATTAAAAATTTATAATTAATTAAAATTAGAAATTAAATATAAAGTAAAGAAAATTTTAAAATTATAAAAAAGGTATACATAATTAATTCATGTGTTGTTAAGCTTCACGGTTTCCCTCGTTCATTGGTTTCAGGTCGCGATTCAGTTTTCATTAGCAAGTTCTGGAAAAAGCTATTTCAATTAAGTGAAACTTCACTTCACATATCCTCAGCTTGCCTTTCTCAATCCGATGCTCAAACTGAGGTGACTAACAGATGTATTGAGCAGTGTCTTCGTGCCTTTTATTCTGAACAAAATCACAGCTGGTCCTTAATTGTATCTATGCTGGGCTAAATTACACTACAACACAACAGTGCATTCAGCCATCCAAATGTCCCTGTTTCGAGCGCTAAATCTCAACAGTCCCTCTCAAGATCCCCCCCCCCCCCCCCCGCCCTTATCCCAGAGGTACTGTTAAAATTGAAGAAGTGGATACATTGTTGATTCGTCGTAATGAGGTGTTAGCAAGTCTGGATATGCATTTGAGACAAGCTCAACATCGTATAAATTAAGCTGCAAGCAGATCGTCACCGCCATGATTACATATTTCAAAGTTGTTGAGATGGTATTAGTGCATTTGCAACCATACAGACAACTATCTGTAATAAGACATGCAAACCATAAATTGGTCAAACGATTTTATAGTCCATTTTCCTTTGAACAAGTGATCATCGATCCCTGTTGCATATGCCTCATGCATCCAACATTTCATATTTCAGTTTTGAAATAATATTGTTTGGAATTTGAAAAAAAATATAAAATATTTTAATGAAATTCATAATACAAAATAAAAGTAAAATTCAAGACTCCCTATTTTTTTTTCCTAAAAGTCAAAACAACACGATTGCGTTACTCACCCAACATCAAGAAATGTATTATGCATGGGCTGTTTTAGAACGCATTTTTGAAAGCCCAATACATCCAAAAAAGAGAAAAGGGAAAGAAACGACATGCCGTTGCAGGGCGTGGAAAAGTCAACATAATCGCCCCGCTAAAACGAAAAGATACAGAAACCCTTGTTCTTGTTCCTCAGCAGCGTAGCATTTGTGGATTTAGCAATGTCGTCGTTGTTGCAGTCATTTGTGGATCCGAAGAAGAACTGGTTAGCACGTCAGCACATGAAATCCCTGTCGAAGCGCCTTCGCAATTACGGTTATTCCCTGAACCCTAATTCTACCATTTCCCGATTCGCGATTTTCTGAATTCTGAAATTGGGAATTAGGGCTCCGATACGATGATCTTTACGATCCATATTACGATTTGGATGTGAAGGAGGCCCTGAACAGGCTTCCGAGGGAGATAGTTGACGCTCGCCACCAGCGTCTTAAGCGTGCCATTGACCTTTCCATGAAGCACGAGTACCTCTCTAACGATCTTCAGGTTCCACACTTTATTATTATTATTATTCATTTTAATTTCATGTGATGCTATGTTTGTTTTGTGCACTACCAATGTTTAATTTAAAACCCTTTATGATATAACATTCACAGGTAGTGCAAACACCATTCCGGAACTACCTTCAGGATATGCTGACCCTTGTAAGTCCTATCATATCATCATATAAACACCAAAATATTTCATTTTGCCTCATTCTTTACTTTCATTTAACATGTTTTTTCTAAAGACTCTTTATGGGGGAAAAACTTGACAGTGGGTTTGTTTCATTATGTTTATGCAGTTAGTTTGTTCTTTTTATTAATTGCTTTTTCAGTTACATGATAGGATTTCTTTACATGGTAGTAAATTAATTATTCAAATAAATATGGTAGCTTTTTAAACTCGTGTGTATGTATGACTTCACTCTGATAAATTGACTACTTGCTGGAAGAGATGCATTTTTTATGTGGGGATTTTTCCTTTTTCCTGAACCACTTGATTCATTCTATTGGCATAGCTCTCTAGCTGAGAATAGTTTTACTCTATCATCCTTGCGATACTATTATATTGAAATGTGTTGATATGGGTCCAATTTCCAAAACACATTTTACCCTTCACAATTATTTTTGGGCAGAATACCACTTACATTATTTGTCTCGTTTGGCATTTCGGCCAAAGGTAATTCTGGACTACACCATAATATACATTTTCTCAGAACAATAATCAAGGGAAATGTATTTACTGTTTTTTGAGAATTAGTAACAGTATCTTTCATGTGATTTGTTGGGATGTTGAGTTGGATTCCTAAGACTGAATAACTTGTTATTTCACTTTATTTTACTTTTGAGCATTATGTCTTAAGACTTATGCTATATGAGCTGCTTGCTATTTCCTATGAGAGTGAGAAATGAAAACAGCTCAATCATGGCTGAAATTGTATTACTATATGTTTTTTCACCCACATTTTTGTAGGTGAAGAGGGAGAAAGCGGAACGTGAAGCGTTGGGGGGTTTGCCTCTCTATCAACGAGCCATTCCTTGAATGCATTAAATCTTGCTTGAAGCTATTTTGATTGGAGTGGAACATTGGTTGAAATTGTATTAATGTTGCGGTATGATGTTTTCATTGGAGAAGTTTATCTCCTTCGCATTTCCTCCTTATATGAATCACATTTTTTTCATGATGTGAATTTTGTACTCAACCGTTTTCTAATAACATTTAAAACTTTTACATCGATTATGTTGTTCGGTAAGAATGGGCTGCTGTGCCTTCAAAATTCAGTCCTTGCTTTTGTCCTTCTCCACTTTTCTGATGAAGTTAAGGGATGTTTGATTACTGTGTTTGAAAAACAAATTTTGTTTTCAAAACTGAAATACAATATATATATATATATATATATATATATATATATAGGTAGGATTTTTTGACACCAGTGTCAAATTTTAAATTTGACACCTCATCTGATAGTCGTTAGATCAAAAAATGTCACATGCTTACAAATCAGAGCCATTGATATTTTTTGATCTAACGGCTATCAGATGAGGTGTCAAATTTGAAATTTAACACTGGTGTCAAATTTGAAATTTAACACTGGTGTCAAAGGATCCTATCTTATATATGAGGCAGGATCCTTTGACACCGGTGTCAAAGGAAAAGTTTGACACCTCATCTAAGAGCCGTTAGATTAAAAAAAATCAATGGTGTCACATGCTTACAAATCAGAATCGTTGATTTTTTTTAATCTAACGGCTCTCAGATGAGATGTCAAACTTTTTTTTTTGACACCGGTGTCAAAGGATCCTGTCTCCTTTTATATATATATATATATATATATATATATATATATATATATATATATATATATATGTTTGGCTGCTTATTTTATCTCTGATTGTTTTGGAAACTTTGTTTTCTATATTTTGTTTTACAGTAGAAAATTGCGAGCACGTTTTCATTTTTAATTTGTTGTCATGAATTCCTAGTCTCACATAAACCATCACTGTATCTGCCAACCATCGCGATCATATTGAAACTTTCCAAACTAATTCTCCTAACCAAATTTATTAAATAGGTTTTTTTTGTGAAATAATTGCTATGAATGAAAACACATGAATAGAATCATATGTCGAACGATTGACCATTTTCAGAGATTATAGCACAGGCCTTAATTGCCCATTTCTAGAGAGAGTAATACAGAAATCTTGTTTAATATTTTTTGGCTCATAAATCAGTAAAATGAGATGAAAATGGAAGAGGGAGATTATGATATTGCTAAATTTTATTTTTCTAACTTGAATGTCATGAATTAATTCACTCTGAAAACCTGAAGTGATTAGCTAAGATGATTTTTATTGTATCTCCAATATATTTCATTATATAATAACTTTTGGTATTTGAAGTGCACTCGATGTACAAATCCACTTATTTTTAAATTCAATTTTGCCTTAAAAGATTAGGGACACTGAGAATCAGATTTTATTTATTTATTTATTTTGTAAATTCAATTTTGTATTAACTTTTTTAACTTTTATCTTATATTATATAAAATAAAATTTAATATGATCAATATTAAAAAACGATAAAAATATCACATACTGCCAAATTACAATCGCAGGCCTGGATTCCTAACCAATGGAATGGCAACACGCCTCCTCTGCAGCCCATAATCCCCATGTATCAGCCCAACCGATGCAATCTCGACCACACGTCAAGAGGCGCTTGATTAAATTCCAGCCATTTACCATGTTGCTAATACAAATTCTAGCAGTCACCAGAATCCTGGGGACAATGTCCTATTTGATGTTACAGCCCAAGATCACACACACCGCCCAAGAAGGACACCAAACCACCACTGAGGGATTAAAAGATGGGCTAATGACCACCTTGGGCCCAAATTAAACAATCAGAGAAAAATAGGGTATCTCTTAGTTATCTTATCTCATGTAGAATTTAGTTATTTTATATGGGCTTTAGTCATCTTATCTGGGTTATCTTTCCAGAGTAATTATCTGAAGTTTATCAAATCTAACATTTGAATTCCTTCAGCATTGTATCCGATTATTATATATTGGAATGAAATAGCAAGAAAAGATATGAGTTCATATCACCAAAGTGACAAAGTCCTTCACCCTCTGTTTCTCTTCCTCTCCTCCTAGTTCATCATGTAAAGAACAAGCTGCTTAAGTAGTGGAGATAGATTGATGAATTTAAATACCATATTTTAATTATTGTATATACCTTAGTTTAGTGGCGGAACCAGGAATTTTTTTTTTATGTCTGCATATTTAGTGGCCAGAGTTTAGGGACAGTGCCCCGAATTTTTTTTTTGTAAAGAGTTTAAATTAACGGTTGAACCCGCTCATAATCTAGTTGCTTCCATAACAAAGTTGCAGATAATAGTTTGACCAATCATTTTTCCCCCTAAATCATACCAATCCTCCAAAACAAATATGAGAATATACTTCAGTACATCCATACATCATCATTCTATTTTATAGTGGTGAATAAAAAAGTCAACACTGCATGTACAGAAGGCAAGCAAAATCACAGTGAAGGCCTCATATGTAGATATTAACTTATTTGAGAATGTCAGACCTGCAATCAATCATCTCTTTTTATAAAAATGAAAAAGAAAATAAAGGATGAAAAGAGCATGTGAATCAGTACGTGACAGGGGAGAAGAATAAGTTTTCTCTCTAATCAATTTGCGTTGCTACGTTGTTTTAATCATTTTCGTACGGTGCTACGTTGCTAACTAATATAAGAATAAATATCTTTATTGTTCCTTAACAAAAAATTCGATCCTCACTTTAGTCCATTATAAAAAAAAAATTAGTCACCTGGTCCCTATGAAATTCAAAGTGAACCTATTTTGGTCTTTTTGAGGGACTAATGTAGGTCTTTTTTAAATTTGTGAGGGACCACAATTTTAACTAAATTGATCCACTTTGAACTTTTTAAGGACCTCGAGACTAATTTTTTTTGTAAGGGACTAAAATGAGGACCATTTTATTTGTTAGGAACTTAAAAAAATATTTACTCCTAATATAAATATTAAACCAAAAGACAAATAAGGACCTGCACCAAAAACAAAAAAATCAAAATCAAATTTTTTTCCCACTAGTGCCTTAGTTAGAGTCTCTGGTGGCTTAAATAGTTTTTCTTTTTCTATTTTTAATTTCGAAGTCCGTATGTATTTTTTTTCTTCTAAAATTGTAAATGTGTACAATTGGATAAATGAAAGTTGGATTTTTTTAAAAAAAAAAATTCAAAGTCATACATATCATTCATAATTTGAAATAAGAAATAATAAAATATTAAAAGAATTCTCAACTGGGTTATTCAACTCTTAAACACACCTCCACTGATTGATTATCCCCCCTCCCAAGCCTTATTTACAAGTACAACTAGAGCCTTCAAGATTTTACATTATTATTGAGCTTGTATCTTCCATGTTTTGGAGTCGAGGAAGGCATAAAGGACCAATAGAAACAACCTGCGGTGTAAGTATTAATGTTGAGTATACCAACGTTAAAGGTGATCATAGTTATTATAATTGAGTTGTTTTGGTGTTGGTCACTAATATAATATTAGATTTGTTGTTGCTTGAGAAACAGCTTCTTTTTATTTTATTTTAATTTTGTTCTAGACCACCTCTTTAATCTATCCTTTGGCTTTGGATGTAATAGTGATAAAATCCCTTCGTTTTATTCTTGGGTTTCACATTTTATTTGGTTTAAATGGTAACAATAAAGTGAGATCATATTATTAACAATAATCTCAGTTTTTAAAAATGTATTGTAGGATTTAATATGTGATAATTTATAAATAAATGAATGTAATAATCAATGAATGATTGAAGTTTAGTGCTTCAAGATTGTCTTGAAGTAACGAAGAATGAGAAACAAATAAATATATCGAAGATTTCATATTAAGGGTAGATAGAAATGTTTTGCATTGCCTTAGTTATATTGAACTGGTTTGGAAATAAGGAAATGAAGATAAGAGACTAAGGAAGAAAATTGAAATAAGAGATAAATGAAGAAAATGATAATAAAAGATATATTGATAAAATGAAGGTAAGAGGTAAGAAAAATTAGAATGGAGATTAAAAAAAATAAAAAACAGAAATTTAAAACAAGAGATAAGATAAAAATAACAAAAAAGAGTTTACCAAAAAAATAAAATAACAAAAAAGAATGGAGATAAGAGATAAATAATTAAAACATAAAATAAGAGATCACAAAATTAAAAGAGAGAGAAAGAGAAGGGGGGGGGGGGGGGGGGATAGAAATAAGAGATTAAGTAGAATAAACAAATAAAAATAGGGACATGTATTTTATCTATTTTTTTCACCTACTTTTATCTACCATTCTCCAATATCATTGGATTATAATCTTAATAGTCTAGTCTTATGTAAGTTTTGTTTTATTTCAATTTGTTACTTAATCTGTATTTTTCATTAATTTTTAGTTAATTATGTTGTATTATGAAAGTCTAAATTAGTTATTATTTAAAATATAATATTTTTAATTGACATTTAGATAAATTTAAAAGGGAAACAAATGCTTTTATGTAAAATTTAATATGACCATCTAATAATAGAAAGATAAATTAACGATAATAAAAGAAGAAAGATATATATAATAAAGTAAGAATTTATTTTCATGTAAACTCTGTCCGTTGAGGCGTTGAAGAGTCAAATATTTATCACCTAAAAAATTAGAAAAAGACAAATGAAAACTGCCCGGAGTAAGGAAATATTTACTGTATTATTGCTATATCTATCACCATGTGCATCTAACTAATAGAAATTGAGAAATAATTATGATGCTTGAATGGGAAAAAAAGAAAAAAAAAAATTATCCAGATATCAAACACAAATACACTTAGGTAGTGTTTGGTTGGGGAGAAATTTTTTAATACTAGGGAAATGTAAATACTAGGGATCTCGAGGAAAAGTGAGTTAGATAGGAAAGTTGTAAAAAAGTTGTTTGGTTGGGCAAAATTTTACCAGGAAAATTGAATTAAATTTCTGAATGTGTGTTTGGTTGAAGATAAAATATTGATGGGAAAATTTAATGAAATTTACAAAAATATCCTCGAAAAAACACCTCCGTGTTATACTGTTCAGAACCTTTTTTTTTTTCTTATGCAGTAAACGCAGTAAACTGAAGCAGGGGTAAACTTGACCAACATTTCATCACCTTTTTCATTTATCCGATTTTGAACA